ATTAAAATATAGAGACCAAAACAGATCTTTAGCCGACAGAGCAATACATTTAGAGCAGTAATTATAAAAAAAAAAAAAAATGCATTTAAGATAAAAAATAAAATGTTGTCTGTCAATATGCTCAATTCACAATAACTTAAGTGGAAAAGTTTCAAGAAATGAGTCTGAGATGATTCACTTTATAACATGGCGCATTATCTTGTTGGAAGTAGCCATTAGAAGATTGGTACACTGTGGTCATAAGGTCCGGCCAGGTCAAGATCCGCAATTGCAATCGCACCAAACAGGAAAAAGAACATCGACAAATTCCGGTTCGTCAAATTAAAATATAGCAGCAACAGATCAGTGACTAGAAATTATAGCACAATTCTTATATATATATATATAAAAAAAAAAAACTAACACCGTTTATTTAAATGATTGGATCCAAACTATTGGTTATTCACCAACGAGGAAGCAGATTTCTCATCTCCATCAAAATATTTATTTTATACCGCGGGACTTAAACTTTAATCAAATCCATTCAAAAGAAACTTCTTATTACAGGAATGAAAAGAGATGCTGAGTTTGGGAGTAGAGAACAAGTTCATTCAAAACAAGCAGTTTTGAATTATCCTTATCCCCGTTACAAAAATCTACAAAAATATAAATATATATTTGGGCAGAAACTGAACATATGCTGGATGATGATGGGATTTTTTTAATATGTCATATTAAATTAAGCGCTCACAGGGTTCATACAGGAATGAGTGACTCTAATTTAATGCTATTTGAAATTATTTTAATGCCATCAACAAGAACCATGTACACAAGTTATTAGTGTACATGAAATATGAAGGAGCTGTAAGCACAGTTCCATGACTCCTGTATGTATGTAAACACACACACACACATATATACGTATATATATATCCTCTAGCTTTTTCTCCGCCTGGAGCGATATAATATATCTGACGAAATTGTTTTTATAAGCATTTTTTATTAAAGAATTATAAATACTTCGATAAACATATTTAAATAATTTTAGTGCCAATTAAGGCCTTGATTTAAAAAAAATGAATGATTTTTTAATTATTTTTATTGATCCGCTGAAACCCTGGTTCATCTCGCGCATGCTCTGTACGATCTCCAAGAAACTCAGAGCGGAGGGGTCTGCAGCCACAGTGGAGGATGTATGCTTTGCTTTGTGCAGGCGGTCTGGAGCGTCTGGATTTCGGGGTAAAACTCCTCTTGGACGCGATGGCGACTCTGCATCGAACAAGACGAACTCAAAGAAGAGATGCTAGCGGTAAATATATGTTCGATTACTGCCTGCTAAGCTAAAAGCAGCCTAGCCTAAGCTATGGCTAATAACAGCCTAGCCTAAAGCTACCGCCTTGCAAGAACAAGCTTTATTAAAGTGTATTTTTTGTGATTAACAGGAAGCAGTACGCCGTCTTCACAACTCCAAGACTAATTGCAGGCGCTATGATCCGGAGCAAGGGTAACATTTAAAGAATATGCTTTCATTCTGCGGTAAAAGGCAATGGATACGGATAGATACCGACCATAGCTTTACATTTTGTTTTCACGGACTACTGTCGCCTCACAATGAGGCGGTGACCTCCTATTTGCTCGGAGCCATATCAGCAAGTCCAGATTTGCACGATGTTGATAAAGACGACATTGTGTGTAAGTGACTTGTTTTAATGTTTTCTCCTTCCTTGTTACTGTGACTTGCGTTTGATTTTTTATTTATATCACTCTCATTTAATTGTTTTCCAGCTGCCTGTAAGACGTATTTTCAGACGGTACGCAGGAGCTTCAGATATACGCAGCCAGCCAACGGCTGCGTGCGGAGGCTATCTGCTCAGAGTCGGGCCAGAAGAAAGAGGGTAAGACTTTATTTGGTGACTGTTTTTCAGGTGCATTAATAGATGTGTTGTGTCCATACGCAGTGCGCTGATTCATTGTTTTTTTTCCAGCTGCTGAAAGCGAGGCAGAGTGTGCTAGCAGATGAGGAAGTGGAACTCTGGAAGTCCGCCTTCCTCGGCTGTGTCTCTGGATGGATTGTACGGTCGCCGCCATTTCGTAGGCCGGATCTCACTGAACTCTGTGTTAAGCTGCAGTCCCGGTTAGAAGCGATGCCGAAGTACAGGGCCACGCACAGTAGGCGTCTGCACATCGGACCTGCCTCGGAGGGAATGCTGCCAGTTACCTCCAACCCCGAGGAAGCAAACGGACCGTTCACGGAGTTTTAATTTTTAGATACGCATGTGTTTGGATACGCGTTGTATATAGTTGTGTGTGTTTTAATAAAGCTCTTTCTTTGCATAAACAGCTTCCTGGCAAATGTTCATTTCCTGTATAAATTCATTCATGTCCTTGATGGTAGCATAATAATTGTGTAGTAGTGTAGGATAACATAAATACACACCATATGAATGAATAAATATATGAATGAATAAATATATGAATGAATAAATATATATATATGAATAAATATATATATGTAAATTTATATGTAAATATATATATATGCCAACCAATCACGAGCGACTTTACTTGTTTAAAAAGAAGTGGTTCCGTCCAATACTCAGTAAGAAAATTAAAGCCTGGCGTGGCCACGTGTGGTTTTGCTGCCAATCACGAGCGATTTCATTTGTTTGAGAATAGTGGTTTCAGCCAATACTGAGTAGGTTATTCAAGCCAGACCTGGTCAGCCTCGCGGGTTTGCTGCATTCATATGCTAATTAGGGCCATTAGTACAGCTGATCGCTCTCCACATACGTCAGAGTCCGTTTCCGACAATTTGTGGCACGACAAACGCGGACAAGCACGGGTTGCAAATTGTCGGAAACTGACGAAAATCAGGCAGATCTGCGGGAGTTTACGGGGGTTTATGGGGACGAAAATCTCACTTTTCATGCAGTGTATCTGGAACAACCAGTCCAGCCAATCTTCACTGACCTCTGGCCTCAATAAGGCATTTCCACTGAGAACGGCAGCTAACTGGCTGTTTCTCTCTTCCTCCCACCATTCTCTAAAAACCTAGAGATGGTTGTGGATGAAAACCACAGCAGATTTTTGAAGCACTAAGACCAACAACCATGCCATAAAAAGCAACTAAAATCACCATTCCAAGTCTGGGCTCATCCAGAGGCCTACTTCACAGAAGCTGAATTCAGATCCAGGATGAGATAAAGCCAGGCTTGATCTAGCCTGATCAGTGCATCCTGGCTTTATCCGTTTCACTCTGACCAAGCCAGGCTCCAGAGGTGGGATTATGGCAGATTCACTGACTTAGCAAACAGTGGATCAACTCAATGCCTAAATAGCCTAAGATACAGATTTCCTAACCACTTCTCTTCAATGAAAACACCATAATTGAAGAAGTTACTTCTCATTTATCTCAAATACAGAAAGCACAGTAACAGAATGACACCATGGGGGTGGAGTTTTGTGGAGCAATGCAGGTGGAGGAGGAGATGAGAAGGTTTTAAGTGGAGGAGGAAGAAGATACCTGGCTGTTATCAGCGATATCTCAGGAAGCTGGAAAACCAGTGAACGGCGGTGGTTTGTTAGAGCGCTGAATAAATCCAGAGATCAACAGGGAGAAGATAGTGTTTCAGTTTGACAGATGCGTGAGCTGGACGACCAAAGACATTTTTCAGATTTCAGGATGTCAGCCACTGAGGACCTTTCACTGCCTCCTGTCATGGATGTGCCTGAAAGAGGGAAGACTAGCCATGTGGTTCACAGACAACAAACTCTAACAGAGAGAATTCAAGTGTTTTCTGAAGGAAAGATCATGAATGATAATGTGACCTTTAATGATATTCTTCCTGATGGGAAATTGGAAAAGGCTGTAGAGGATGGTGTTCAAAGAGATGTGCTGTCAGAGTTTGGGGTGACCTTTATGAGCAGTGCATCATGGGAAATTACTTTAAAGCTCCAAACCTGTGACACGAAAGAAGAAAGCGAAAGTGTAGGGCCAATCATTGCTTTGGGCTGGAAAAAGAAAAGCTCTGAGCCAGAAAACTTTCAGCTGAGCTTCTTGAACAAGCTGCTCTTGGTGTCGCTGAAAGCGATGTCTAACAGTGAATGAGGCTGCATTTCAGAGTCTGAAAGTCTTGACAAATATATTAGAATTGCTTGACTTGCATATTTGTCGTAGGCCTCAGACAGCAAGAAACACAGCAGATCTTAAAAGAGCTGCTCACCAAAAACTTCCCCACGAGTCAGCCTTTGTTATAGAGGAGTGGAGTAATGTGTTTGCACTAAATCAGCCAGAGCTGACAGGAACTTCAGCTGCCTTTGCTGCACTGCAACCAACACAACCTAAAATAATCCATTCAGTCACTTTCCATAGTGACCTTAGTGCCCTTAAAAACTAACCAGGAAGTAGCTAACTTCAGATCTTAGAGTGATTCTGTCCATCTTTCCAGTTTTCTCAGGTTTTCTCCTGGATCACATCTGTTTCCAGGGAAAAACATCACTGTGTCCTTCACACAGGCTCAGGGCTTCCAAAGAAGACCTATTGTTCACACATGTGGGGGTTTCTTAGAGCTGACAGTCGCTAATGAAACATTTCTGACATGAAATGAACAAAGTTTTAGAGCAACATCTGGATTATGGATATTGCTTAGTTTGATCCCAAAGTAAACAACATTAGTCTGTTTGTATAGATTTAAACACTAAAGTATTAAACCCAAAATACTTCTGCAGGTTTGAACATTTTTTCTAATGAATGTTTCTATAGCTGATGTTTTATGATGTTGTGGCTTTAACCAGTTTATAGCTACTGTTGCCCAAGTCTGATGGAAGCAGTTGATAAACCTCAATCTAAATAATTATTCACTTCAACAAACACCAATGTCTGAAGTTATTGCTGTAGTTTTTTCAAACAATGCAGCAAAAAATGCAGAGTTGTTCTCATTTTAAAGATGTTTTTCCAACTATACCAAAGATTTTCTTTTTTTGTTCAAGTAAAGACAAGTACATGGGTTCCGAAAGTGTTTTCCATTCAGCTTTTTAATCAATATTTTTTCTAAATTAGACATGCATTTTTCAGGCTGTTGAGGAACAAAACACTTCGTAGCAAAGTGCAGAACATTGTTACAGGTTACAATAAAATGAGCTTAAATGGTTCAAGAAGTATTTTTATGAGGTTTTCTTTCATATTTACATTTTTTTTTAGATTCATTTAATAGGATCCATCCATCCTGGAGAGGTCGTCCATCGCAGGGCAACACAGAGACACACAACCATGCACACACACGCTCACACCTAAGGGAAATTTAGAAACAACAAACAGCCTAACAGTCATTAGTTGGACTGTGGGAGGAAGCTGGAGTACCCTGAGAGAACCATGCAGGCACATTAAAACTTCAACACTTTAACATGGAATAATGAGCAATTAATGAGCTTCACACCAGACTGGAAACTAGAAAATTGTCCAGATGATCACTGATCCAGACCAGCTGCTACCCTCCAGGAACCGGATAGTAACTAGTAGAGTTAAATATTGGATGAAATATTCTATCTTTGCTGTCTTTAAGCTGGTTCAGAATAATTAACAGTGGAAAACAACATTAAATGTCAGAACATTTTGAATCAGACACTACAATGGTTATTTAGTCATTAAAACATTGGAAGTGAGAAAATCAACATTTCCAAGCTCAGCTCTAACATCTTTGCTTCCAAACGGTCTCCTAAACAGAATCCCTGTCCAAGAACCAATGGGTGCCCCCCCTACAACTCCTCAGAACAACCAGGACCCCCAACACTCACTAGCTTAGGGTTGGTGAGGAAGAGTTAAGGCCAAATGATGATTCAGCCTTGGACTCTATTTTCAGTCCAAGCAGCTCCTCCTTAATGACAGCAGCCCTCCTCCACCCTGCTGGGGCCGGACTGGAAGGGCTTCCTGAGTCCATCTGAGGTCCTGGATCGCTCCACACCTGCTTTAGCTAACTTGCTAACAATGAGCCACAGCGGTGGTTCATCAGCAGGAACAACACAGATTTTCAGCAGGATCTAAAGGTTTCAGCAGGCGAACATGGAGACAGAATGAATGGAGAGTAATAGAGGAAACACAGAGAGAAAAAATATCTCAGCATTGGAAACTGCTGAACCTGTCCAGGGTGTACCCCGCCTCTCGCCCATTGACTGCTGGAGATAGGCACCAGCACCCCTTGCGACCCCAATTGGGACAAGCGTGTAAGATAATGGATGGATGGATGGAAACTGCTGCAGCTCTCAGAGACAAAGAGAAATCAGAAAGACAGAGCAGCTTTTCAGATCTGATCCAGGAAGTTCAGTGGGAATATTAAATCAAAGAGAGAGAACTTTCTGTGGTTTGCAACAGCATCCGCTAAATTTAACATTAAAGTTCATTAAAGGTTTGATAAAGTTGTTCAGGATTATTTTTTAAATTCATATTTTCACATGTTATAGATCATATATTTTATTCTCAATTTTAATTTGGATGGAAAAAATATCAACACGATATTATGGAGACGATGAAAACAAAGAGGAAAAAGGACTGAAAACAAACAAATCTCTAAACTCAGAGTTCATCATCAGAATCCAGTCAGAGTCTCTTTAAACTCAAACTGCTGCAGCTTCAACCTCTGAGGATCATCAGGACACAGATCAGCTTCTCTCCTCTGAGAAGTTCATCTCTTCTGCAAACTCTTCAATTTGAAGGTTATTGCCTCCCATCTCCACTTCCTGCAGAGAGAAGAAGGATGAAGAGAGGAGATCAGTGAGTGTTTCCAGCCTCTGTCTCTCCATCAGCTGTCAGTCAGTGATGCAGCACATCCAGGGTAAAGAGCAGCAGGGACTTCAGTCCTGTTCAGAGCAGCTGTGGAGCAGAGCCAGCTTCCGTTCAGCTCTCATCTTAACGTGTTGGAGTGAACACACTGAGCTCCAAGCTCACACAGCTCAACACATTTTTATGATTCAGTCTGGTTCCTCTGCAGGTTTCCCTCCAGTCCACAGTGGAAACCACCTGCTGAGAGTCCTGAAGGCTTCATTGCTGCACAAACACTGTAGTGATGGATTTACTGCTGCTACATGTTAGCTGCTGCTCCATTTAGACACAGAAACTCTGGCTGCTGATCAACATCTCATCTGTTTCTGAAATAGCAGCTGACTAAGAAACATGGAGGCTGTCCCTGAACACATCTGGATGAGACTAATGACAGAAGGACACATGTCCAGATGTGCTGAGTGGACTTCAGCAGAGCTTCTGCTCTGTAGAAAGACCACATGGTGACTAAATGGAATGATGGTTTGTGAAATCAGAGCCAGGCTGCATTCAGACTGATCTCAGAGCTGTGGCTAAGATGAAACTGATCAGTTGTTTCCTGTTGAAATGAGAGAACAAAGAGTCTGAGATCAGATCTGATGCTCCCACAGTTTGATGGATGAGGACCACTGTCTCTAGACATGTTGGAAGGCTGGCAGCTGGAATCCAGCTTCATTTCCTGGAGACATGAACACAGCAACAACAGTCGTCTTCACATCAACACAAACACAGGAACAAAACCAGCTTCTAGCTCCTCTGATTGGCTGATTGGTGTCTCTGTGTCCAATCAAGAAGCCTGTCACCATTCTCCTCCCACTGAGAAGCTGCAGCTTTACTGGAAACACTGGATCTTTGCTTTGATACTAACTGGGTTTAGAACAATCCTGCTGACAGCAGCTGGACTCACTCCAACCATCTACTTACAGAGTCTGCAGTTTGTAGTCTGGACTCTCTACGAGATCCTGCAGCTGCTGAACATCTGATTCCTTCAGGTTTTTGCATCCCAGGTTCAGCTCAGTCAGATGGGAGGGGTTTGACTTCAGAGCTGAGACCAGAGAAACACAGCTGATCTTTGACAAACCGCATCTCCTCAACCTGGATAAAGAATAGAAAGATGTGAGCTGATCCAACAGGATGAAAACATTCAAACATGCTGCTGCTCCAGTAAAGACCTGCTGACTTCAGCTCTTTATCTCTGTCAGCTCCACCAGCAGCTCCATCAATACAAACTCAGCTTCTGCTGCCAAATTCTTCAAGTTTCACAGAAACGATGAACAAATAGAGATGAATGCAGCTCAATTCAACTAGATGATCAATTATTCCACAGTAGGGCTGCATAATACTGGAAAAAGGATGCTAGGGAAGCTAGCATCCTGTTGATGATGAACCTGCACTGATCGTACTCTTTTCATCTTCCATGTTTTGGTCAGTATCTCAGAGTTCTTCTTTTTCTTTTCTATTGCTTTTATTGGAGCTCAGTAGCGGCCCATGCCTAGGTGGATCTCTACACACAGTGTGTGTCAGCTACCCTTTGTTCAGCCCTAGGCCTTGTGAGCTGGGTTGTGTGTTGGTGTTTCTGCCCTGTTTGCTCCATCTCTTTGCAGGTTATGATGATGGGGATCCTGAACAGAGGATAGAAATCCCTGCCTCTTTCTCTCTATCTCTTCACACACCCCTGATGGACGCCCTGCTGCTAGACACAATCATCGTCATGATCATCATCATTATTATCATTGTCATCATCATCATCATGATCACCACCTTCATCATCATCACCATCATCATGTATTGACATCCATTGATTTTCAGTCATTTTAACCCTTTCTATGCACTGACCCTGACATTAAACCTGAAACTAACTGTTAGCCAAACAGCTCAACAAGAGTAGAATAATGTCCTCACTTTACAACAAGCGGTCCTCATTTTGATGGTGAAATCAGAAACATGGTGGTCACTCTGATGATCACACAGACACATCCAATCATTTGCTCTACCCCACTAATACAGACACTTCCATCCATTCTAGTTTTTGTTAACCTGTGTTTGATCCTAAATCAATGTTTCTCTCTGCACCTTGTGGCATGGTCTCCAGTTTTTAGGACCCTGAGCCATAACACCCTGAAAATAAATGACAGGAAGTCCAGTTCATTTCCCTCCTCCATGACTCTGCCAACTTCAGCTTTGCTTTCTATGTTAGGATATGAACTGAAGGCTCCAAGTCCAACTCAGGAAAAGATTTATTAGAATAGAAGATATCAACTTTGTTTTTCAGCTGATTCTATCAAATTCTTCACAGAAATATCAACTGAACTGTTTTAAAGACATCCTGTAGAATAACTAACCTGATGAAGGTTAGAAAGAGATCTAGAACCTTCTACCAGTACTAACCCAGTTCTCTCTGAACTAGAACTTCTTCTGAACTCGGTTTAAGCAGGTTCAGATTAACTGATTCATGTTCATATTTCTCTACCTAAATATTCTGAACTGAGCTCACAGCTCCTACTGGAACTAGTTCTCCTTTATTTATCTTCATGTGCTGAAATAAAGTCCAAACATAAACAGGTAATGATGTCCTTCAGTAATCAGTGTCTGGATGATCCAACAGCCCAGTGGTTCCCAGTCCTGGGTCTCATTTAGAAAACATTGGTAGGATCCAGACTAAAAGTTTACGTACGGCAAACTCCTGAAAATGGATCACAACAAAAAAAATCATGATTTCTAAAACTGTGTGAACAAAAGCAAGCAGTTTTCCTTTCTAGATCCCAGCTGCAGCTCAAAGTTTGTGTCCAAGGCTCCACCTCATGTTCAGGCCTATTCAAGCCTCCATCCAAGCAGAAATGGTCCATCAAAGCACAGCATGAATGTCATCGTGTCTTTAAATGAGCCAGCTGATCAATGTTACTTCATGGTTCTCTGGGCTGCGTCTCTGTCCAAAAACCAAAAGGAAATCCCTCAGAGGAACCTGAGAGCTTTAAGGTTGGAGCCTTCAGTTCATGTCCTGACATAGAAAGCAAAGCTGAAGACGGCAGAGTCACGTTTAAAGGCCTAAATGACTGATGGAGTTTCTCACAGAGCAGAACTGGGTCTCTGCTGCCCGATGGCAGCGACAGCAGAACCTGAGCGCCTAAGGAGAAATGCTGCTGCTCTTTCTCTAGGAAATTTACTAAAGTTTACCCCCAAAATACAGGACAATCTTTAGTTCACCTTAAACAGAACAACGTTAAATGACGTCAACATGAGCTTCATTCACTTGATGTTCCTCACTTCAAAAACTGCATTGTTCAATTCAGAAATGTGAGTTCAGCTCAGAAATACATCCATGGATTAAACTAAATGACACATCAGGATTTTTGATATATGCCATCTTCCTCTTTATCAGCAGTTTTTTCTTTCTACTCAAAACATTGTACCAGAGGCCATAAAAACAAGGGATAATTTCTCTGGAAGAATTTCCAGATGGGCAGGGACACTAAAGCCTAACAATGCCTCCATCTACCAGCCCAGATCCATCCAGCCTCTCTGGATCTGCTACTGAGAAAATGTGCAGCAGCACCAGGAGCTCAGTGCCTCGTACAGAGGAGGAGAATGGGAGAACCAAGTGTCCTGTCCAGGACTGAAGTCTTGGAGAGGTTCTGGGATTCTTCCTGCGTTCCACACTGCTGCCCATGTTGGCTCAGCATCACTGAATAATGTCGCTGGTGTAGCGGGTGCCAAAACAGCGCCTGTGCCTTTAAGGACAAGAGGTCTCGTGAACGCACGGGAGGGGAACGAGCAGTGTGTGTGAAAAAAGGAGGAAGACGGACAAAAAAGAAGATGGATAAAAAGTTAACCAGCAGGAGTCAAGTTTGGAGCAAATATCGCTGATTGAACCAGCTAAGGAGCTAACTCCGGTGTGTTTTGAGTCAGTAGGACTCACACACACCCACCCTTCACACGCTCAAAGCACTGTCCATAACATTTGCCGGGTCAAGTGGACTGAACTAAACTGTTATATCTGTGTTTTCCCGTGCGACACACACCCGTACTCACGCAAACTCATACACACAATGCTAATAATGCTCGCTGGGTCAGCTGGACTGTACTGAACTGTTGAATTCGCAGTGCGACACACACACACACACCCATTGTTTTTTTTTTATTATTGGGAGAGACTGTTGAGCTGCTGAGCAAGACTCCGCCACACACACACACACACAGCTGCATGTACACACGCTCACACGTTACTGTGTGCTGCTCAGCCCACTGCCAACTGCCAGGGCAAATGTTTATGTCTGTTTGAGAAAAGGTTTGATGGTTCTTTGTGTTATAAATTGATTCATATTGCCGGAGGTGAATTCTTTTACCTATGCGAGAGTGTTTTGATATTTTTTTTCTTTATTACAGGTTGATTATTATAACCACTGTTTCCTTGTGTTATTAACTGTTTGTGCTATATATGTGCCATATATTTAGTTATTGTACAACTTAAGTGAGCTCTAGCTGCTAGTTGTGTTCCCTTTACCCACTTTAATTGAATTGAAGTCAGGTTACTCTAATCTGGGGGTAGGGGCGCCTCACTTGGGAAGCCGGTTTAGGATAGTAGTGGGGTGGTGACGGGTGTGCTGGGCCATACCTCATCACATACACCTTCAGGCAGCCACTGTACATTACTGAAGTCCACTCTACCAAGCCTAGGTGAGCTACCCAAGACAAAGCGTGCTGCCACAAAGCGAGTATTGAGGCCTTTAGGTGTTGGGCATGGAGGACCTGGATCCTGTCCCGTTCGGTACTCCCCATGGTTAGGGTTAGTTAACCCCCCTACAAGGCGGCGGTAAACTCCCGTCTGCTACACTGGGAATGGGAGTGGGAATTTCCTGCATTATCAGCTCTAAATTCACTGGATTTTGGTAAGTTCTGGATAATGCTGCAACCCCCCACTGAAATTCAACTCATTGTTTCATGTTTTCTGCTTATTATTGCATAAATCATGATAGGAAGTTTAAAAAAGAAATAAACATTAACTGGATCAAAGCAGTGAAGAAGAAATCAGACTTTAGCCTGAAGATCCTCAGTGTGGATCAATAGAATAACAGCCATATGTCTGCAGTTTAGAGTCAACACAACTTTACCATCAGAAATATCAGCACTAAACTAAAACATGGTGACTGACCTCAATGTCTGTAGTTTGCAGAGGGGAGACTGGAGAAAAACACAGAGCTGCTTCACTCCACCATCTTTCAGGTTATTGAGGCTCAGGTCCAGTTCTGTCAGATGGGAGGGGTTGGACTTCAGAGCTGAGACCAGAGAAGCACAGCTGAGCTCTGACAAACTGCAGCCAATCAATCTGAATAAAGAATAAAAGATGTGTTGAAGCAACTGGAGAGACGGGTTAAAACTAAAATAATAAACATCAAGATAATGGAATATTTATTTAGATATGATATAGGAATTTTTTGGTAGAAATAAAATAAAGATTCCAAACCAGCTCTCATGAGGTGGAAGAACATAAAGTTTATTAAAGCTACAGTGTGTAATTTTCAGCGACATCTACAATCCAGATTGCAGACCGCAGCAACATGAACATCTCCCCCCCACCGCTTCTCCCCCCCAACAGTACGGCGAGCGTTACGGGACAAAATGTCTTCCACGACGTCCGCATCACCTACCTTCTCAAGTGATGAGGTTAGTTTACATAGATAATTTTACAGATAGTATTTCATTAGTCTGTGTGTTCAGTACCGTCTCAGTTCATCTCTCTCAACTTGCCGTAGTTACTTTCGAGCGTAATGGGCGATCTCGCAATCGCTAGTTTGTTGGCTCTGCGCTGCCGTAGCGCAAAGATGTCTGCCTCCATGGCTGCGAGACCCGCTCCTATGTAATTATAAATAACGAATTCTAAGGCAACGCAAATATTACGGTTAAGAGGCTGAGCTCGTAGATGATGATAAATAACATAGTTATGTATAATATATTACATTTCTGACTGTATATCCCTGTAATTATTACACACTGTAGCTTTAAGTATTGGGTGCAGACAGCTGAGGGCAAAAATGATGAAGAAAGAACATCGACCTGCTGAGTCAAGCATGAGAGCTAGGTGCAAAGATGGATGACAGAGCTGAGTTTCTCCAAGTTGGTGCACACACCTGTTGAAAAGCGTCTGGGAGGTTTAACCACAGCACACTATGATCAGATGGTAACGGTGTGCTGAAGGTGGTGTCACAAAACAAATACAGAATTATGAAAACATAACAGATTTAAATCCCTTTTTTGTTTCCCTGTTCCATGGTGGCTCTTACTGTCCACTGCCAGCCACAGTAGGAGAATTATTATCTTTCTTCTTTCTTTAATGCCAACTCTCCTCTGTGACAACTCTAAAAGGTATCAGCACTGAGAGCCAATAAAACATGGATAAGTGCCGCTTCCAGAAAACTCCTCTTTGGTTACAGCCACATGCCTGTGTTGCCTTCACTGGAGCTGGGAAGTTACAAAACTCCTTATTTAAAACCATAGGGAGTTTGTAGGGAACAACTGGATTTGACAACAGCTTAACTTTGTCAAAGTTAAGATGGCTCTCAAGTTTAAAATCTAAGTTTGTGGCCATTGGTTTTACAGAATGATCCAGATATCCCAGGTGTAAAGGTAGGCTCTCTGAAGGGCCTCCAAAAACATCATTTTTATCTTTTTTGCCATTAAAATGTAAAACGTTTAAAGCCATCCATGCTTTCACATCATCCAAACATTTCAGAAGAGATTCAACAGTTTTTGTTTCAACTTAGCAGAAGAGCTGACTATCCTCTGCATCAAAGTGAAAAGAAACCCCATGTTTCCTAAGGATCCAAGAGGGAGCAGATAAAGAGTAAAAAGAAGGGAGCCTAAAACAGTAGAGGTGGGCGGATTGATCCTAGGAGCAATGCTATCGATACAAACGCTGGTATTGAAATTTAACAATATTCGTTTACCAGGATGAATTCTTTTTATTCTATCCCACACCATAACTGCTGCTGATTGACCACGCTCCCTGTCTGTATAATTACAGTGCATTGCTGCTCCCCCTCCCCTCTCGTCTCGGCTCAGCACACAGGCTCAGCCTGCCCCCCATTCAGTTCTCTCTCCACTTCACACACAAACAACTTTGCAGCTTAGATGCCGGAGAGAGAGAGAGAGAGACCATTGGAGCAGAAAATACCATAAAAGAAAACAACAGCAAGCTGTATGGTTTGTAAAAAGTCGGTTCAATGCAGTTTAAAAAGCACATGAAAAACAAGGAGCAAGAAAACCTCGAGCTACAGAAATGGAGAGAGGAGACGAGACTCGCCCATTGCCCCGAAAGACCCTCAATCAGACCTGATTGAAAGAGGCATTTCAGACCTCCAGTGAATATCCAGATAGATAAGAGTGATCACCTTTAGCAGCAGTTCATGTTATAGGTATAGTGGAGATTTTCACAAAACCCACGGTTCGGTTCGCGGTTTGGTGGTCACGGTTTTCGGTTCGGTTCGGTTTGTTGATTGTTACCCTGAAATCCCATAAAAATTAATGAAAAAATCCCAAAAAAATAATGAATTGTAATTATTTGTAATGATCCACGGAAACCCTGGATCATTTCCGCATGTGTTGCTGCTTTGAATTTAATCATCTCGCGCATGCCCTCTACAATCTCCAAGGAACGGGAGCCACAGCAGCGGCTGTAGGCTTTACTTTGTGCAGGCGGTCTGGAGCGCGGCGGAGCGGAGCGCTGACGGAGTATGTGGGATTTCGGGGTTAGCCTGACATGTTGGTCATGTTGCTGTTAGCATAAACAAAACGTGTTGCACAATGCTTGCACACTGTTGCACTTTTATCCACAACTTTCTTTCCGCCGTCATCGTAGGTCACTCTAAATGCAAAGCGGTCCCATACAGCAGACCTATAAAGTGCTGCTGGCGCATCTTCCAACTCCTGTTCTTTCCCACCCATACTCACACAATTCTCCACAACAACTGATTTTTTTCTGCTACACCCGGCTTCGCGGCTTCGCTTCTTCTTCTTGTTTACTACTGGTGGTTGGCTTTGGTCGCAGTACCACCACCTTCTGCTCTGGAGTGTACATGCTTTGCCTATGAGAAAAAGGAGCAGCACATGAACCGAACGCAACACACGTGAATCGAACCGAGACAGTCGAACCGAACGGTTCAGACGGTTTTCATAAACCGTTCCATCCCTATTTTATTCATATTGTGAACAGTTAGAAATGAATCTTAAATACCATATTGAGCAGATGTGAGAAGTGAATTTCTCCACTGTGAGATCATTAAAGTCTATCTTATCTTGTCTCTCAATATTTCTTTGAGAACTGGTATGACAGCAATCCACTACTTTAGGAAGTCACTGTATGTGTGGTGTATATGCATAGCTGAAGTAATTAGACTTTTGCTTACAGTTATTTAAGTATTAAGATGTTACTGTTACAACAAATGTTTAATGTACTCAGCACATTATACCATATATCAAATTATTTTTTGAAAAATAAATCAATTGAGATAAAAAAAAAAAATGATACTATGTACATGGTACATGTTGCACAATATTTAACATATCTTTATCACATGTCTTAAACCCCTTAAGTAGTCATTTGTTTATGGAAACATGAAACCTGCTACTTCTATCAATGAAGCAGATGGTAGGAATTTCCCCTATACCCCAAAACCATAATCTGTACAAGGGTTAAAATCTGCTTTTATTGCAGTTTCACAAATCAGAGATATCTGAAATAGTAATTTTGACTGGCAGTAACTCTATTATGGAGATCTGATATTAGAATTCATACTCGTCAGAATTCATTTTTAGATACAAAATAATGTTTATTTTAGATTGGAAGAATTTTATTATTTATATCCGGAAATACAAGCCCAATACATATGAATGGGAAATGTGACATCATTTGTATTAGTAAGAATTACATTTCAGATATCTGAAATGTATATTTTAGATTGGAAGGATGTTATCTTAGATATCTGAAATGTTTATTTTGAATAGGAAGAAATGCATTTGAGACATCAGAAATATATATTCAGTTAAGCTAATAAATGTCAAAAGGGACACTTCGAATTTGTAAAGATTTCTATGTATCTGAAAGTTTATTCTTACTAGTACAATTATATTTTTGGCAGCCTGAAATGTAATTCGTGCTAGCAAACATGTCATTTAGGATATCTATTTGTACATTTCTTGCTAGTAAGAATAGAGTTTTGACTAGGAAGAATCTCATTTTAGACATCAACAAATGGAACAAAAGAGCTTCTAATAAATGTTAAAATGGCCTGCCATACTCCTCCTCTTCTATCTCCTCTAACACTCAACCAAACTCTCTCCTTCTGCAATTCTTTCCTTTTTTTCCCCCCTTACACCTGTGCTACCTTCACAGACTGTATTGCTGTAGGAAAATACAATGTTAACTGGTAATGCCCCACAAAATAAAAATTACTTATTTTAAACAATGCAAACATATTTTTTAATAACTTTATACGAACTACAAATTAACTAAAATAAAGGATGTAATGAATGAACTTATCCTTGCTATTTATTATCTTAAATATCTTTTATGTTTTACTATCCGGGTTACATTACTTTATGTCTGAACAGATACCTGCCTTGTTTCCTGCTTGTTCTGGATAGAATAAAAAGCACTTTAACTTTAATCTCCCAGATGTATGAATTATTTTAAGAATAACTTCATTTAGAATAAGGAGATTTCAGTTTTTTTCACGTTAATGACAAATCTTCCTCATGCTCCAGGGTTGCCTGTGGAGTACCACAGGGATCAGTGCTAGGACCAATTCTCTTTACTATATATATATATATATATATATATATAGAATTTACTTCTCTCATCTGCTGGATATTGCAAACATTAAAAATATCCTGTTCAGAGGTGATGCTGAAAAACTAGTCCATGCATTTGTTACTTTAAGGCTTGACTATTGTTATTCTTTACTATCAGGAAGTCCACAAACTGTAGTTAAAAGTCTTCAGCTGATCCAAAATGCTGCAGCCAGAGTTCTGATGAAAAAGACAAATCATACCCCTCCTATCCTGGCTTCTCTTTATTGGCTTCCTGTTAAATCCAGTATAGAATTTAAAATCCTCATGCTCACATAAAAAGCCTTAAATGGCCAAGCTTAATCTGATATCAGAGATCTGTTTGTTCCTTATGTCCCTAACATAGCACTTGACTCTCAATCTGCAGGTTAGAATTTCTAGAATTTCTAAAAGTAGAATGTAGAATTCTGCTGGAGTACACTACAAGCATGCTTAGTGTGAGGGATTGCCTTTCAGTCTATGAGTCGATGCAATAAACTAGTTTTCCTTGTCCTTGTCAAGTCGAGGGAGAAAAACACAAACAACCCACACAAACTGGATTCTTAAAATTCCTTAGATAGAAAACTTTGAATCAATCTGACTGGATGCCCTGGTGAGCTGTAAATTGCCTTGAGATGACATGTGTTGGGAATTGGTGCTATAGAAATAAACAAAAATGAATTGAACTATGAGATCATTAATATTAACCTTGAAACAAAGTTAGATATTCACGGAAGGAAAATTCCTTGAGAAGTTCAGATTATTTCATCCAGAGAGAAATCTGACAGAAATTTGGTTAGCAGATAATTTATAACATGGAAACTTTGATGATTCTACCCCTTTAAAGAATCAGAATTTAAAATCAATAGGAACTGGGATTGAAACAAGGAATCTGAATCGTTGAAATTCAAATGATGCCAAAGAAGCAAAGGTTACCCTGTATCTAAGTCACCATGGCAACGGCACCGTCAGGCCGCCCCAGAAAGACTTTGTCAACAAACCTCAGGGACATTTGTTTAGCCAACCAGCAATTGATTGACTGACATCAGAGACTCACCAAAGAAACCGTCTGCAAATCAAAAGCCTGTTGAGTTTAGTTTGACATAGTTTGGATGAAGTGTTGCTGTCTAACTGCTACTTTGAGCTTCATTATACCTTATTGCTGATCAATGTAATGTCCAACAATTCATTATAATGACGTCATTATGAGCCCATATTTCAATTAGGAACGCCGTCACCACACACACAATGTGATCTACAGTTAACGTTTAAAACAATTCAGGACATCACGATAAAACAACCTTAAAAGCCATGGAGTCTGCTGGAAGCTTGTTCCAATAGCAACTATTGTGATTGGGTCAGCTCAGGGTGACTGGTAAATTCCAGACCTGTCAATCAGCTCCCTGAAACTCTATGCTTGTAAAGACAGCAGCGTAGTGAGAAGTTGAACAGTTGTTATTCAGTCTGCGTTCCCCCTGTGCTGCGCTCTGAACGCAGCACAGGGTAATAAAGCAAACATGAAAGATTCCACGGATTTTATAGCAAAGTTGATACACAACTACTTTCTTAAAGCTAGTTTTCTCTCATCAGACAGATAATATATTAACATATAATATCCATATACAGACATCTAAGCTCTAAAGTTGTGGCTTCTGTTTTAAAGGCTGTCCATCTGCCTGCTGACATTCGGTCATCCCAACAGAGGAAGGACACCAGCCACAGAGGAAAGGCTGGAGAGGAGGATCAGATGTTTGCTGCAGTGAGGACACAGGTCTCCTTTACCACTGATAATATTGGGTCATATCAGATCATCAGAACCAAGATGAAGGAACTCTGAATCAGCTCTAAGGTTCCTGATGAGTCTCCTGATGAAGCATCATTGGCTCACAGAGACATGGCTCCAACCCTCTCTGACAGCTGTCAGATTAAAGAGGACAGGTTCTCTCTGACCCGGTCCAACAGAACAGCAGCTTCAGGACAAAGCTGAGGAGGAGAAACCTGCTGCTGCCATCAGTGTTTTGTTGTTTTTAAGATTTTATTGTTGTCTTCTTAAACATCATTTTTCATTATAATTGTTCCAAAATGTTTGTGGTTCTGGCTCTACTCCGGAGGAATCAAACACCATTCTAGATGTAACGATATGGATAAGAAATGTGAAGCCATCTTATCTCATCTTTTCCAAATCAAACTAAAAGATCTTCATTACTATCATGTCATTAATTCTATTCATTTCTTACATGACAACAGAACATTTTAAAAGTTTGAAGAACAGGAAAATAAAGTTCAATATTTGATGATGTTGATGATGTTTGAATAAATAGAGAAAACTCACCCTAGTTTCTTCACTTTGCAGATTGAACTCTCCAGTATCTCACACAGATGCTTCATTCCAGAGTCTCCTAAGGTTCCCCATACATAGATCTGATTTATTATCACTTCAGTCAGGTAAAGGTTGGACTTTAGAGCTGAGGCCACAATTTCACAGTGAGCCTTATTGAGAGAACAGCCACCAAGTCTGTGATTAGAGGAGAAATAAAGTCAGTTCTAATGAAATCAGACAATCTGGATGATAAACACAGACTAAAACATGATGAGCAAACAGTGATGTCATCATCTGATAAGCATCTGCTCTCCACATCAAGGCCCAAACGTCTGGGAGGAGACAGAGCGCTTGGGTCAAGCAGCATGTTTCATGTGAAAGAAGTGAAAGTTCTCCCAGTAATTAGAAAAGGCTCGAATGTCTAAAGGGTTAAAGCTTATGCTACTACAGGTCTTTATGGAGGACATCTAACAGCTACAACAAAGGCTGCAGATGAAGTTTTGATGAGGAAAATGGTTCCAAACTCTGGAAGCAGAGTTGTCAGAGCTCTGGGAGGTTCTGACAGAAACTAGGACTCCAACAGAAATGACATTTTCTGAAACCAGACACATATCATGGTCCAAGTTTCCATCGAAGCTAAACAGTGATTTTATAAAAACACTCAAAGAGACTAAAAAGGTGAATTCTGGGCTAACAGCCTAATCAGTGAAGAGAAGTTTAAAGGTTCTGATGGGTCTCTGGCTGATTAGATCTTTAGAGGAAACTCTGATTTTCTACAATCTGAAGGTTTCTATTAATTTCAGTGGAAGATGGAAACTGATCCAAAGTGGAATATTTTAAATTTGATCCAAATCTCTAAACAGCAAAAACTCCAAATGGTCCAAAGGATGAAGGATGAAGTTAAAGAGAAAAAATGTCCAGAAGCAACTAGAACCACGAAGAAGAACCAGGAGCACAATAGCGCTGGATCAGCATCACACCATGAAGACATCTTGACTCACCGAGCCGTTCTGCAGTTCCTCAAAACTGGAACCAGTCTACATCGTCCATCCTCTGATGTGTTGTATTTCTCCAGGTCGAATTTGTCCAGAACCTCGTCTGACATCTGCAGCATGTAGGCCAGAGCTGAGCACTGGATCTCTGAGAGCTTCATTCCTGATTTCAGGAACTGTTGGATCTCCTGATAAACTGAGAGGTCCTGAATCTCCAGACGACAGTGGAAGATGTTGATGCTTCTATCAGGAGATACATCTTCATCAGTGTTCATCTCCTTCAGGTTATTGATGACTCTCTGGATGGTTTCTGGACTGATCTTCATCTTACCCAATAGAAAGCCTAAGAGTTTGTGGTTGGACTCCACAGAGAGGCCATGAAGGAAGCGAGCAAACAGGTCCAGGTGGCCATTTTTACTCTTGAGGGATTTCTCCATGACTTTCTTCATGAAGTCCTCCAGAGATGTTTCTCTGTATTTTTCTCCCAGGAAGTTCTCCACCACCTCTGTGTTCCTGCTGGTGAAGCAGCGGAGCATGTAGACTGCAGCCAGAAACTCCTGGAAGCTCAGATGAATGAAGGAGTAGACTGAGGTGTCGTCCATCCCTCTCTCCTCTTTAAATATCTCAGTGAACAATCCTGACAGCATTGAAGCATCTTTGATGTTGATGTCACACTTTTGCAGGTCTGGTTTATAGAAGATCAGATTTCCTTCCAGCAGCTGTTCAAAAGCCAGTTTTCCAAGAGACTGAACCATCTTGATGTTATCTTGAGTCCATGGGGAGTCTGTGTTCTGTCCTCCATCATACTTGATCATTTTCCGTTCGATCTGAAGCTTCAGGAAGCGGATATACATCCCAGTCAGGGTCTTCGGCAGCTCTCCTCTATCTCTGGTCTCCAATAAAACCTCTAGAACATCAGCAGTGATCCAGCAGAAGACGGGAATGTGACACATAATGAAGAGACTTTTTAATCTTTTAATGTGGGAGATGATCCTGCTGACCTTCTCTTTATCTCTAAACTTCTTCCTGAAGTACTCCTCCTTCTGTGGGTTGGTGAACCCTCTGACCTCTGTCACCATGCCAACAAACTCAGGAGGGATCTGATTGGCTGCAGCAGGTCTTGTGGTTATCCAGAGGAGAGCCTTTGGAAGCAGTTTCCCCCTGATGAGGTTAGTCAGCAGAACATCCACTGAGGTGGACTCTGTAACATCAGTCAGGATCTCATCATGGTGGAGAGAAAGTCGACTCTCATCCAGACCATCTAAGATGAACAGAACCTGGAAGTTTTCAAAGCTGTGGATCCCTGCATCTCTGATTGGCTTAAAGTGCTTATGAATCAGTTCCACCAAGCTAAACTTTTCCTCTTTTAGAGCATTTAGCTGTCTGAAGGTGAATGGAAATATGAACTGGATGTTCTGGTTGGTTCTGCCTTCAGCCCAGTCCAGAGTGAACTTCTGTGTTAAGACTGTTTTCCCGATGCCAGCCACGCCCATCGTCATCACGGTTCTGATTTGATTCCTTCCTTCTGGTGATTTGAAGATGTCTTCTGATCTGATTGTTTCTCCTGGTCTGTTTTGTTCCCAGGATGCTCCTTCAATCCTTCTGACCTCATGTTCATCGTTGACCTCTGTAGTCTTTCGCTTTGTGATGTAGAGCTCTGTGTAGATCTCATCCAGAAATGTTTCCTTTCCAGCTTTAGCAACGCCTTCAGAGACACGTTCAAACTCCTTCTTCAGAGAAGCTTTAAGGTCACGTTGACATCGACCAACAACCTCTGAATATAGAGAAAAAGATGGAAGAATAAATTTAGAAAAACATAAAGAATAAGAACGATTTCTGGCAGAGTTTTTTGTTAATACAGGTGTCAATGCCGAGAGGTATTTTCTGTATCCAACCAGTTTCTTATGCACAAAGAGTTTGTGCTGCTGTCAAAATAAAAGATTATATTATGAAGAAATTCTAAAGCTTGCAGCAAACAAATACATCCCTGATATCTCAAAAACCATGTGTGCACCTGTTACTTAACCAGGGCCGGCCTATCCTCTATGGGACCCTAAGCAAAATTAGATGTTGGGGCCCTTTTCTGATACTATGAATTACAGCCAGATGATCAGACCATTCACACCTGTTATAAACTTATGTGATCTAAATACTATATTTTTGCACATATAAAACCTCTATCTGATCTTTTCATGATAGTCTGAACAACATGGTCTTATATACAAATTGGCTATGTGGTCCTAAATCGGATACGAATGTAATCTTTTTAAATGCAAGCTGTGTCAGAATGGCCAGGTCGCATTAATCAGACCTGAACGTTACTAATACTTGACAAGAGCCAAGAAAGAAAAACAACAACCATGGCAGACAATAATGCAGAGTTAATACACTGCCTGAGGTTGGGAAAGAAATGAAAGATTGCAAGATGCGCTCCAGTACTACCATCCATGTTTATTTCTGTAAACACATCATGCTCGCTTGTGACATCATTGCGTCCTCTACTGTGCATGTGGGATGCTTAAGTAGCGTGATGTAGTTCACACAGGAGATCACATACAAGTAGCATATATTTGGAAATGTGAAAAACCACACAGAAGAATCGGATTTAACAAAAAAATCGGAATTGAGTATGATCCTTTTCTTTCCAAGGACCAAGGCCTGAAGCCATGTTTTAACACAAAGAAATGTTTAAATAAAATTGTTTGATAAAATATTGTAGACTATTCTGTGTTCTGGTGCATCTTGTTTATAAAGTTCCCTTCTTTGCGGATCACAGACTGTTTTCCCAATGCCAGCCACACCCTTAGTCATCACTGTTCTGATCAGTGATGGGACTAACGGCGTTGAAAGTAACGGCGTTACTAACGCTGTTACCTTGTTTTAGTAACGAGTAATCTAACTAATTACTTTGACTGTAACTATAACGCAGTTACCATTGCAGACATCCCGTTACTGCGCTTTACTCAGGTCGCACAATTAACCTTTTTTCATGATAGGACTTGTCATGAGAGAGGGGAGGATGAGAATGGCTGATGTATAGAGAGATTCCGTCTGTCAGTTGGGTAGGTGGGTGTTTTTTGCGGGTGGGTTTTAACGTACAGCACACACAGAGAGATGGAGAGTGAGGATGACTCCAGCAGCAAAATAGCGCTTTCCAGATGGAAATACTGGTGTTACGTCGAGCTGCGCTTCCCCATCAGATAGGTTTCCCCTGCATCTCCGCACAGCGCAGGCGGCACGATTCACTGTGCAAGTGACAGGAAACGCGCATGCTCGCTAAAGGCGCGCAACAGTCGCCCTGTGCTCACGCTACAGGAGAACTATGGAGAGCGTGAACACTCAAATGATAGCCTATATGGAGAAAGGGAGAAAGATCCAGTCATTTCCTTAATGTTCGCATCTCAGCAGCTGCAAACCATCCCTCCTTCTGAAGTTTAGGAGCAAAGTTAGTCTCTGTGCCCCTTGTCCAATGTCTCTCCAAACCAAAAATCCATTGTTCATTTTGAAACATTTCCATCCATAGTGTAGTCAAAGCTACAAAATTAACATGCGTGCCACATCTTTTTTTTATTTATTTTTTTCATAAAGGCTAAGATGTTAGTAAACAAACAGAAAAAAAAACAAACAAACATACAGACACAAACAACGACAAATATGTAAGACAACAAAAAACCCCAGTGGTGCCTCCGGCTCCTCCAAGAAGGTGTTGGTTCATCGTGTCATTCATTTAATGCCTCTGTCAGCATGACTGCTCTTAATGGGGGTGCAATTCCACCCCAACAAAAGTCTGTGAGCTTCAAACCACCACATCAATCTGTACCTCATAGGTCATATCAGAGCCAGAGAGGAATTAAAACAAACTCTGAGCTCACCAGAATGGCCTTCAGCCGGGAACAAAACATGCAGCTCACAATCTCTACACCCTGTATCTGGCATGCTGCGTTCTTACACCATCTCTCTCATGTCCTAATCCATGGTTCCGATCCAGTCCAGTTACTAACCAAGTCAGTCCAGTCAGGCCGAACCTATTCAAATCCTTCTATCAGAAATTTTTTAACTATCTGAACCCCCCTCTCTCTCTCTTGCTCTAGTCACTCTCAGCCAAGTTGTCCATTTCCATTGCCAGAACTTCTGCAGCTGTTGGGAAAATAAGGGTTAATGCACATCTTAAACAAACCACAATGAAGGATGAGACTTATGTCAGCCTTTCCTGGAAGAAAAAAATTTAACATTTAAGGATTGTTACAAACTCAGCCTGAAAAAGAAAAAAGAACATGTTTAAGCAAAACGAACTCCTGATCCTCCTTAAATTGGCCTCTGAATAATCATGCCTGCTCCCTGACAGCCTTACTGTCACTCACTACAAGCCTGGTTTGTTACCAGGAAAAGCAATCAAACAGTTAATCAATAAGTCAATAGTTAATCACTTCATTCACAGAATTTAGTGAAGTAAGCAGAATTTAACAAGTCATGCAAAGAAAGTAAGGCCCAGATGAACAGTGAAAAGATAAGTGTTAGTAATGATTAGAGATTCAAATTAAACAGTTTGTGCTTAGGCAGTTTCCAAACGGCATTATACACAGATAAAAATAATTATGGATGAAAAATAGGGACTTTAATTGCTAGTAGGAAAGTTCAGATCGCTGTGGTGAGTCCGGTTAGAACTCCCAAGAAAGCAGAGTCGTACTCCAATAGGTCAAACTTGTCCTTGCAGTTTATTCATTAATTTCCATATCAATGTGTATGGTTTTTCTAGAAAGACAACAAAAATATAATATCACTGTCTGAATAATTCTTAACAAATAACTAAACTGATATCTCACATTATAAACTGCAATATTAGTACAAACATCTCTTTTCTAACTAAATACACCGCATGAATAAGCAAACCACATTATTTAACTCTTAAGTGTGCACATAAATAAAACATGTCATAAACTAGAAGCAAACTGAAATACTTCATTAAACAAACAATGTCACTGACTTCTGACATTACTTACTTGCATTTCACACACACACATCAAAAGGAAGGTGACAACAAACTGCAACAGCAGGACAGAATCCACAAACTGAGAACGGTAAACTCCATTGCTCCTTTTTCCTTCTCTCACCTTCCTCATCTAAATGCTACACAGCGGTGCCCTAAGCCCCGCTCCTTAAAGGGCTCAACACATCAAACTGTCAGGCAGCCTTTTTCACAATGGATAAAAACTGAAGGCTGAAAAAAAACCAGGGTCAGGTCACACCGAAATTGTTTTTAACTCTCCAGCCTTGTTTATAAAAGTTGACCCCGCTAATCTGCTGAGCTCCTGAAGGTATCTTGGCCATATGCTGTGTCCAGATTCAGCTCGAAGTGTGATTTATCCTGTCCCTAATCAATCTCTAATTAAATCCTAATGAGAGAAAAATGAAACCAATCAATCTCTAATGCAATTCTAATGATTGAAAATGAAACTACCTTTAAATTAAAATCATGTGATGCCCGTGTCTGAGATTTTAGTTTGCCAAAAAGTAAAAACACCCATTCTGCTTCTTTCTGGATAATTACTTATATATTTAATAATTTTTTTAATCTATAATCTATTAATCTACAATTTCTCAGCTGCACTCCACACCCAACAATTACCTCACACCTAACAACAGCAACCGGCTCTGGTCTTGTCAGAGCCTCTCATAGGTGGGGCCCCTGAGCAACATGTTTTATACGATTACCCTTCTGTTATGCCCCCAGAGCTCCTTCTCAATCCTGTAAAAATGCAAATCATGTTAATGTCACATCAAAAAATATTCTTAAGCATTCCAAAATGGTACCATACACATTCTACCTCACATGCATTCAACATTGAGGACAGGCAGACAGACATTGGCCAAATAAAGTTTGTTTAATCCATCAGTATCAATTTTGATTTTATCTTCTTAGAGGATTTTTCCCAATTTAAACAAAAATCATAATCTTTTCACCTGTCCGGTCTTAAGACCTCTGCACCAGTGCTTATCAGCCTCATTTTAGGATCCTTGTTAAACTATATGTGCACATTTATGGAAACCCAAGATTTATTTGCTCACGTTAGACACCAAAATAAGTTTTCACACCCAATGATTTTTAATTCTAAGCGTCCCCCAAAAATGACATGTTTGAATTTTCAAATATGAGAACACCTCTAAGGGGTTCTGAAAAAGTAGTATGTTTTGTTTTTCTCCTGAAAATCCCTTTACCTGTGTAGTTTTTTGGGAGGTGGGCACATACAGTTTCAGGGTGTTGTATCTGGCCCCCGTACCAACCATAAAAGGACAGTTACTGCCCTCGATCAAAATATCTATCACTGCTGCTGGAAATTTCTAAAAAAACGACCTCCATAACTACACAACTAATGGGATCCCGGCCTCCCTAGTATTGCTAGGGGTGGGGCGGCTTGCGGCATTGGCATCTCTGTCCCTCTCTCAGTTCACTCCTCTGGGCCTGCAAACGGTGTGTAGGATAACCGTTTTGACACCACTTTGCTCTATGTCCCATTCGTCCGCAGACCCAGCAAGTGATATACCTGTCGTTTTGATCGTATCCTCTGCCCCTCCCTCTGCCACGTCCCCCAGCAAACGCTGCTGCCTGTGCGTATTGGTACATCTGGTAGTTCTCCTCCGAGTGCATGCTGGCAAGAGTCATACATTCAGGGTTAGTCATATTTGTCTGGGTATTGTTATTCTGTGATTTTTTTGCTTTATTTTCTTTTTTCCGTTCCTTTATAAGATTACAGTCTGTTTCATTTGGGTAGGTAGCTCTTAGGGCTGCCCAAAATTGGTCCGACACTGGGGCTGCTTTTTTAGGATCTGGAAGTTTGTATCTAAACAAGGCACTATCAGTAGAAGTTAGGGGGTTGTAGCTGACAGTCTGTACTCTACCTGCATCGTTATATGTCTGAACTAATGGCATCTGGACTACCATCTCCCTGCCACTTCTATTATTCTCCTTACTCAGGTTATATTTGCTTCCAGCGGGGTCAGGCGGCTGTGAGTAGGCAAGCTTGTTCTGTGTTATTTTTATGGCATCCTTGACTAGTTCCCTAGCTCTATCAATCCTGTCATTTATCAAAAAGCACTGATCCTCCGTGTGCGGCTGTCCCATGTTCGTAGCTCCCTCCTGTCACCCATAGCAAAACTGTTCCTCATGTTTAAACACCCCATGTCTGTCCGTTACTTCATTTTCTTCTGGTGCTAACGAGGTATTTCTGGATTCAATTTTGTAGTCCACATGCATCCATCTTTCACACCTTTTGTTCACACAGTGTATAAAATTAAACCTCGACGTCTTACGTGAGATCCCTCGGTGCTTGAAACTTTTTACCTATAAGCTACAGTGAGCCGCTTTGCTGCTAAGGAATTGCGTCCGTCAAAAAATGTGTCCGTCAAGGAAGTCTGTCCGTCAAAGAAATGCGTCCGTCATTGAAAAGGAAAAAAGAAGAAAAAGAGAAGTGAAATATAGAGAAAGGAGAAAAAAGATATTAATAATAAAAAAGAATAGAAAAAGGAGAATATATATATATATATATATATATATATATATATATATATATATATATATATATATATATATATATATATATATATATATATATATATATATATATATATATATATATATATATTACCGCCTAGTTCACTCCACTAACTTTAGGATTAGACAAACAAGTTACCTAATCCGGGCATCAGTCTCTTTATGGGGATTGTCATTTTATCGTCTCTCTCTTTCCTTTTATAAGAGAAGAGAAGGAAAGAGAAAAACACCCCAAGGGTCCGTTTCAACCCGATCTGCTTGCTTTTATTTCTCCAGTCTCGGTTTTTCGTAAATGTCCTTATGGGAGGTATACTGGCAAACTCTAGCCATAATGTGACTGGTATCTGTCGCTGCGTTTGTTTTTCAGAAATGCATCTTTCGTGTCTGCAGGCAGACCGGGAATAAAATCACCGTCCCTTTCTGCATGCAGAAACTGTTGGGCTCTCCAACCAACTTATCCTAGTGAGCAGTATAATTCTTGAAGGTGTTGGCGCAGGGGCCTTCAGCCAGACTTTCAACCGCTACCCACAGCAGAACGCACAACTTACTTCCTCTTTTTTTGTGTGTGTGTTCACGTTCGCAATGTAAAAAAAAAAGGAAAAACAATAAAACCGCAAAAACAAAAACTAAATCACTCTGAGCAATTTCTCTGTCCTCTTTTGCATAAAAAGCTTCAGCTCACTTCAGAAAATCACTACACAGCCAAACTGTTTTAACATTAAAAACACTGGAGATATTTTGTAATAAGGAATCTCCTCACCTTTGCAGTTGTTTCAGCCTGCAGGCTGTGGAGTTTTTCCCGTTGGTGGCTCTGTTGTTTTGCTTCCAGGTCGCGGGCGGAAACACCAATTTGTTAAAATGAGAAGGATTTGTCCCCTTGGAAGAAAAGGCTGTAGCCCCCCGGGGGCCCTCTCACCGGTCCTTTTCCTGGGAGCAAGTTATTTACTACTCTTAACTCAAACTGGGTAAAACCATATAAAAAGGACTATAAAAACAGGAGTAAAAAATGACAGAGTTTATTCCAGATCAGGTCGTTACAGGACAGAGAAAAATGCTTAGAGCTTGCACAGCTGTGGTCTCAAAAATCACGTCCGCGAGGGTCCGGCAAAGTTTGAGCCCCGAACAACGTCATATCCTGCTTCTTATACCTTCTGAGTCTGTGTTGCATCATGTGGATGCTTAGCTGTCCCTATCAGAAACTGACACGCCATCCATGTCTTGAACTCCATGCAGCTTGCTTCTATGCTTCAGGGTTACAGATACAGATAGCTCTCCTATCAGACCGGCTCCAAGATGTGCCCATATCCTGTCTACTCTTAAAGACACAAAGGCTGTCTTGATTAGATGACCTCCGTACACACAGTGACATCCACAATGTGAAGGAAGGCCTTCTGCTCTGTCTAATCTGACTAACAAAATAACAATGCACATGATGTATAAAAGAATAAACCTAACAGATGGATGGATGGATGGATGGATGGATGGATGGATGGATGGATGGATGGATGGATGGATGGATGGATGGATGGATGGATGGATGGATGGATGGATGGATGGATGGATGGATGGATGGATGGATGGATGGATGGATGGATGGATGGATGGATGGATGCTCTGCCTCTTCAACCTACTGTATTTTTTACTTTAAACATTATTTGATGGCCTTTGTGGCAGGGATGGAGATCCATATTTTATGTCACACACAGAGTATACATCTAGATAGATAGATGGATAGATAGATGTTGCAGTATCTATAACAACCCAAACACACAGGATTTCAGAATTAGACATCCCCAGTTATTAATTTCATATACTTACCAGATCTGAATGCCCTGTTAAAAAACTTCACATCGCGTCCCCCCCTGATGTCATTGACGTTGTCTTTGTCGTCCGCTCTATTCAGCTGGCTTTAGAAACACACGGCGAGAAGGTGGGGGCTGGGTGGTGAGGGTTACGGGGGCAAGAAACGCAAAAGTAACGCAATAGTTACTTTTACTAGTAACTAGTTACTTTTATTGTGGAGTAACTCAGTTAGTAACTCAGTTACTTTTTGGGAGAAGTAACTAGTAACTATAACTAATTACTTTTTCAAAGTAATATGCCCAAAACTGGTTCTGATTGGCTGATCTCTTCCATGTGGGACTTTATAGATGTCTTCTTGTCTGATTGTTGTTTCTGGTCTGGTTGGTTTCCTAGATGCTGTTTCAATCTGTCTGACCTCATTTTTATCATTGACCCCCCCAGTCCCTCCCTCTGTGTTGTAGAGCTCTGTGTAGATCTGGTTCAGAAGGGTTGGACTTCCTGCTTTAGCGATCCCCTAAAACACAGACTGTAACCTCTTCTTCAGACTATATTTAAGTTTAGGTTGAACTGAGGACAAATGTCCTGAAGCAACACAGGATATCTTTAGCACCAAAATTATTCCTGTCAATAGATCATCTGTTCTTCCTGCACTTCTGACTATAATAAATTCCTCATTTATACATCAGGTTAAATCTTTATAGAAATCCTCTTACTGCTCTGCAGACGATCAGCCAGCTCCTCCTGCTTCATCCTCCTCAGGAAGTTCAAGGTGATCTTCACCAAAGCCTCTCTACTTCTCCTCTGCTCTTCATCCTTCTCATCCTCCCACTGACTCTCCAAGCCTTCTGGATCATCTGGACTCAGAACTTTTTGGATCTTTTTCAGCTCCTTCTTCACAAAACTAACAATGTTTTCCTCCAGCAGCTGAACAGAACAATAAATGAAGGACACATCAGACTGAGATCATGGAACCAAACATCAGATCCATGTTGGACAGACTGACATTCCTCTGGTCTACAAATTGAAGCATGGAGATGACTGTGAACAGAACCCATGGAGAAGTAGTTGTAGTTCGTGTACAGACCATAAATATGGAATCCAGCTGGGTTTGATGCTGCTGGGCAGATGGACCAATGGGAACCTCTGAGTTCTGCTCGTTCACTCTGTGAAGGAACCAGGAAGCATTAACTCACATTCAGTAGAACAACAAACAGACAAAGACCAAGGTCCCTGTGGTGTCCTGATCCAAAAGCTAGATAATGGGGAAACCTGTCAACAAAGATAAGCTCCTACCAGAGCATTTTGAGTTGCCATGGTAACTGTATTAAAGCATGACTGATTTCTCAGAGCTCCATGAGTTCAGCTTTACCATTTGCTGAGAACTTTGAAACTGATCATCCAGAGGAAGTTGAAGCAGATTGTTCACCAGAGCTTCATTTGTGGACATTTGAATTTCATCTAAAACTTATCTTTGTTAGATCAACAATGTCCTATGTCAAAACTTTTATTGTTTGGGATCATTTTCATATAGTTTTTTTCATCTATACCAATAAATCTTACTGCCACATCGGTCTCATTTAAAGAAAGGTGTGTTTTTAACAAAACTGTGTGTGTGTTAGAAAAATGTCTTCTTACCAACCTTCCCTCTCCAACTTTACTGAATGATCAGTAAATCTAATCCTAGTCTTTGATCAGAGGCTGCAGCTGCTCTGTTTCAATGACTGACAGGAAGCTGGAGACACAATTATTAAACCAATCCCTGATTAGTTCATGAATATATTCCAGAGCAGCAGCCTGAGTGGGAACAACGAAGGCAAGTTAATCAGACTGAAAAACATCCAAAGACAGGTTAGAGGTTTACTTCCTGAGATGAATCTATTTGATTCATGGCAAAACATGGTCCAACATCTTCAGAGAGCTAACAGGAGGATTCATGAACAGAAATAATGTTGGTATTTAGTAAGGCTGGAACAAGGCATGTCTTTACTGGGAATCAAAAACGTTTTTCATTTATAAATTAAATTTCTTTTATATTTCAGTTTCAGAGATGGGAAGTAACGAAGTACAAATACTTCGTTACTGTACTCAAGTAGATTTTTCAGATATTTTTACTTTACTTTACTACTTATTTTTATGGCGACTTTTTACTTCTACTCCTTACATTTTTACACAAATATCTGTACTTTCTACTCCTTACATTTTAAAAAATTGGCTCGTTACTTTAGTTTGGAATCATTTCAATGGAGTTACCGTTATTATTTTTCACGTCATCAATACCAAATTCAATCTAATTGGATGGGAATCTACGTTGCATTTGACGCACCACTACAAGATGAATCGACAGATTCGGCGGTATTCATTCGCGGCAAATCATTGCAGCTTGGTGGCGGTGGCGTTAGCATAGTAGCATGGACGACGAGATGATTGAAAATGAACACAACGGAGATCTAGTCCTATTGGCAGACATCCATTTAAAATGTAGGCAACGGCAAGAAAGTAGCGGTTTCTACTTTTACTTTTTATACTTTAAGTAAATTTACAAGCCTGTACTTTGTTACTTTTACTTGAGTAAAGAAGTTTAATCAGTACTTCCACTTTTACCAGAGTATTTTTTAACACAAATATCTGTACTTTTACTCAAGTACGGAAAGTGAGTACTTTTGCCATCTCTGTTCAGTTTCATATTGAACCAAAAATAAGTTAAATACGATAAAACAGGCCGTTGAAATGGAAGTTTAGGTATTTCTAAAGCTAAATTATGTTTGTTTTGTTTTTTGCTTCATATTTTTACCACCAGTTAAACATTTTATTTCCACATTTCTATCTATGTATAGTGTCACTCTGAAATGCATGAGTTAATAATGATCAGATTATATGGTTGGTCATTGATTTGGTTATTTATCCTTCATTATTTGTTTCCTTAGTTATTCTGTTTAAAAGTCACCTGATTCAACATATGAACTAAAACTGAGTGAGAAACATGTCAGAAACACAAAATCAGGAATAAAACAATGCACTAGAGTCAGAACTGGGAAAAATCTGAGATTAATAATTTCTATAAAATGTTTCACCTGAATTCTGGCTTCAGCAGAAATCAGCCTGACCCAGTGGCGGCCGGCCCATAGGGGGCGCTGGGGCACCACCCTCCCTGATAAGAAGAGAGAAACGTAAAATATATTTTTAGAAATTAACTCATAAATGTCAGTTTTACTCTCTAGAGTGTGTACCTATAAGCAAAACAAATTATATAAACTACATTTCCCTAACTGCTGTCACTCATTTGTGGATTGCCACAGACAGACTCCTACCGTCTCTGTCTTGGGGCTGTGATTAGACTGCCCCACATTTGCAGAGAATCTGCCAATCATGTACTATTGCTAGGTGAATTTAATAATTTAATGGCCAATCAGCGTCTCAGAATTTTATGGTCTTCGGGCTCTGAAAATACTGCCCTTTAACAGGCATCTGCACCCAATGCGCAGATGCAGACAATTAGAGGGACGATGGCGAATGTAACGAACGAGATGCAGCTTCCACCAAATTTGGTGAGATTCTTATTTATCTACCCGTTTGCCAGAAGAACATCCCTGTTCTAGGGTATGAAAATTTCATGTCATGGTTATTGTGACTGTGACCTCACAATAACCTCGTCATTTAAAACAACCTCTAACTTTGCGTGCCACACACACATTCCTGTTACACTGTGCTTGTGAGGACCAATACACTCGCGCTGAACCCAGTAGCTCCATTAACTTAAAACACACAAGCTGTTCCTGGTTACCTGCTGGCGTATTGAGGGTGCACACTTAATATTTCAGTGGGGTTAGCCGTGTGTGTGTGTGTGTGTGTGTGTGTGTGTGGGTGTGTGTGTGTGCGTGTGTGCGTTTGTGTGTGGGTGTGTGTGTGTGTGTTTGTGTGTACATGTTTATGCTACGGGGACTTGTGATCTTCAGTCTGGCGGCGTCTTTGCTGGGTTCAAACCCAGTCTGGTGTAATTGAATAAGTCAATGAATCTGTGTAAAGGAATGAAGTAGTAAAAATTATTTGGTTTTGTATGTCAATTGTTTGTGGAGGTAATATATGGACAAAACTGATTTATGAGAAGAAATCAGAAATAAGAGAGCCTGAGGTGAGGGGCTTAAACTATTTAATGAGGGCTGTGGGAAGAAGAGCGGCCATTTTTGTTTTCTGTTTCTTTGTTACATTGCTGGTAACTGGAGGGAGGCTGAGGCCCAGAGGATCTTGTATATGTTTAGTTTCTTTTGCACCCTGTTTTGAGTTTTTGAGCACAATAATCACCAACACCGGTAACCCGACTGAGCCTGGATTCTTGGAGGCCAAAGAACTCCGTCACAGTGACCAAAATCATCACTGTCACTGTTACTGTTATTATCTAGTAAATAAACCACCACCAGGCTAGGCATTAGCCTCCACCACCAGGCCAAGCCAGGAGCCTCCGATACCAGGCCAGACCAACCACCACCACCAGGCTAGGAATTAGCCTCCACCACCAGGCAAAGCTAGGAGCCTCCAACACCAGGCCAAGCTAGGAGCCTCTGACACCAGGCTAGGCCAACCACCACTACCTGGCTAGGAATTAGCCTCCACCACCAGGCCAAGCTTGGAGCCTCCGACACCAGGCCAGGCCAACCACCACCACCAGGCTAGGAATTAGCCTCCACCACCAGGCCAAGCTAGGAGCCTCCGACACCAGGCCAGGCCAACCACCACCACCAGGCTAGGAATTAGCCTCCACCACCAGGCCAAGCTAGGAGCCTCCGACACCAGGCCAAGCTAGGAGCCTCCGACACCAGGCCAGGCCAACCACCACCACCAGGCTAGGCATTAGCCTCCACCACCAGGCCAAGCTAGAAGCCTCCGACACCAGGCCAGGCCAACCACCACCACCAGGCTAAGCATTAGCCTCCACCACCAGGCCAAGCTAGGAGCCTCCGACACCAGGCCAGGCCAACCGCCACCACCAGGCTAGGCATTAGCCTCCACCACCAGGCCAAGCTAGAAGCCTCCGACACCAGGCCAGGCCAACCACCACCACCAGGCTAGGAATTAGCCTCCACCACCAGGCCAAGCTAGGAGCCTCCAACACCAGGCCAAGCTAGGAGCCTCCGACACCAGGCCAGGCCAACCGCCACCACCAGGCTAGGCATTAGCCTCCACCACCAGGCCAAGCTAGAAGCCTCCGACACCAGGCCAGGCCAACCACCACCACCAGGCTAAGCATTAGCCTCCACCACCAGGCCAAGCTAGGAGCCTCCGACACCAGGCCAGGCCAACCACCACCACCAGGCTAGGCATTAGCCTCCACCACCAGGCCAAGCTAGGAGCCACCGACACCAGGCCAGGCCATCCACCACCACCAGGCTAGGCCCCAGCCTCCATGCCAGGCCAGCCACCACTACCAGACCAAGCCCCAGCCTCAACGCCAGGCCAGCCACCACCACCAGGCCAGGCCCCAGCCTCCACTATATGCTACGGCTACAACGCTGGGCTGCTGCTGCTGAGAGAACACCTAGCGGCTGAAACAACTCTGGGTTCCCACTACAACATCTGACGGGCGGCTACAACGCTGGGCAGCTGCTGCAACTCCTGAGCTGGACTTCCAACGCCTGACCATCAACTTGTTCAGACCAAACGGAAATTACGAAAAGAGGTACGAAGCAAAGCCGATCTATGACAGAGAGTTTGAGGAGATAAAGAAATCCTTGGATTTTATGTCTGATGAGATAGCAAAAATCTCACAACAAAAACTTATAATGAACTTAATGGGGGAGGTTAAAGAATTGAAGAGACAGAATGTAGAGAAAGACAAGCAAATAGCCTTCCTGGAACATCGTGTGGCTGACTTGGAACAATACAGTGGAATGAACGATGTAATAATTACTGGGTTGGAAATGAAGCCTAGGTCATATGCCCGGGCTGTGACAGAGGCAAACAATACTGAAGAAAGGGACGAAGAGCAAGGAACTTTTGAAAAACAAGTAATATCATTCTTTAGTAACTAGGGCATCAGCATTGATAATAATGACATTGAAGCTTGCCATCCACTTCCACAAAAAAAACAAAGGAGTTAAACCTGTTATTGTCATGAGGTTTACAAACAGGAAACACAAAAATGAACTCCTAAAACAATGAGAAAATTAAAAGGGTCCAATGTTTATATAAATGAGCATCTTACCAAAATTAACGCAGATATAGCAAGACGAGCACGTTTTCTCAGGAAACAAAAGAAAATACAGTCAATGTGGACCTCAAACTGCAGGGTTTATATCAAATTAAACGGTTCACCAGAGGAAGCCAAGGTACTGATCTTAGACAAATTGAAGATTTGGATAAATATCAGTGAAACAGGACAACCAGGCAACTTCTGATGAACTTTCTGAAATCCAGTAATAAAATGTAAATTTACACATGAATATAGACACAGATATTGACCCAGACAACAATTTCCTTGATTATTTGACTGACAATTGTCATTATTACACTGATGATAACTATGGCCAATGCTTTAATTCAGATCAAGAAATGTCAATTATTCACTTCAATAGCCGTAGCCTTTATGCTAATTATGAAAATATCAAAGAGTATGTATATCAACTAAAAAAGTAATTCAGCGTCATAGCAATAACAGAAACCTGGCTCACCTCTGAGAAGGGAGCAGACTTCCCACTCGAAGGGTATGAGTGTAATTATATAAACAGAAAGAATAAAAAAGGTGGCGGTGTAGCGTTGTACATAACAAATGAACTCAAATATACGGTGGTTGAAAAACTGTCAGTGTCAGTTGATGAAGTGATGGAATGCATTACTATTGAAATCCAGTTTGCGAAGCAGAAAAATACAATAGTCAGCTGTGTGTATAGAAGTCACTGAACAGGGGCGGGGCTAGATGGGGGGCCAGGGGTGGCGGAGGCCACTCTTAGCCAATCATTGGCCACCCCTGTGGCCACCCCTACCCTTTATTTCCCTCTAATACAGATGTTGGCAGCAGTAATACTTTCAAGTGGAATATTCAAACATTTTAATTTTACACATATTACAATTACTTGACAACAAAAACACTGTGGTTAATTATGCTCATTGATATACTATAACTAAAGAAGATAAGTACAGAATTCATGCTCTTTTCAGAACTAACTACCTTTGTCTTTTATGGGCTAAAGAGAAAATTATGTGTGTCCACAAGTCATCTGGGGGTCTTCAGGGAAATCATAGATAAATAACTATTTTAATACAAACATATTAAATAATCAATTTAAGTAGATATTAGTACTTGTAAATATTAATTTTACGTAGAATGATTACTGATAAAAGTAGGTAAGTAATGACGATGGAAAAGTTGTTCACTCAAAACTCAAAACCTGAAATAATTTTATCCACTATACCTTCTATCTAGAAAGCACGGATGTTTATATATATTTGTCTATTTGTTAGCAAAGGTTGTGGGAAAGTATAGTTTGTCTTTGTTTAGAAAATATGGATGTTTTGCTAATTAATTTTCCTGTTGGAACAGTGTAGATGGACCCTGAGGTTCTGGTGCCTATCCGCTTTCGGCCACCCCTCAGTGTACATTAGTTATTGCCTGGCCACCCTTATAAAAACTTTTCTGGCTACGCCTCTGTCACTGAAGTCTTTACAAATTACATGGAAACATTGTTTGCTAAGATAAATGAAAAGATCATTTTCATCTGCGGAGACTTTAATATTGATATGTTGGATCCAAATAAGGTTAGAAGTACATCTAACTTTATCGACACTATGCATAGTTTAGGTTTATATCCATTAATTACTAAACCAAGTAGAATAACAATGCACAGTTCAACCCTGATTGACAATATATTTACTAATTACATGGAAAGTAAATTGAGAAGTGGACTTCTTGTAAATGACATCAGTGACCATCTTCCAGTGTTTGTTATCCTAGAAAAGGTTTGCAGAAAAATAGATAAGAGTACCAACATCACTTACAAAAGAATAATATCAGTAGACTCAATAAGAGCATTAAGAAACGATTTACAATCAAAGAACTGGAAAGTGCTGTATGAAGAAAAAAATATTGATAAGGCTTTTGAGATATTTATCAAAATATTTAAAGCATTTTATAATAAAAACTGTCCAACTCTACCTTGTAATTACAGGCAAAAAAACAAATATAAGCCATGGATTACTAAAGGATTACAAAATGCATGTAAGAAAAAGAATAATCTATACAAACAATTTATAAAATATAAAACGATTGAAGCAGAGCAAAAATATAAAACTTTTAAAAATAAATTAACTATTATTATGAGAAAATGTAAAAAAGATTATTATTCTAAAATATTAGAAAATAATAAACAAAAGATTAAAGGGATATGGAAAACTTTAGACTTAGACTTAGACTTAGACTTCTTTATTTGTTATTTTGTATGCACAGAGTGCATACAGAACGAAATTGCGTTACATACAGCTTATGAACGTTGCATTGATATTTCAAATGGCACAAGTTATACAAAAATACAAAAAGTGCAACAGTGGTCAAAGTGTGAACAGTGGAGAGGATAAGAGACAGTGTGCAAGTTGCAGTGGTTCAGTGCAAATAGGCATTTGTGCAAAAAATGCGTTATTGAAAATAGAAATGAGATGAACAATTAAAGGGCTAAAAGTTAAACGTTAAACGTTCAGCAGCATTGATGCCCGATAATGTGCAATAGGTGCAGATTTCGGTTTGTGGATCAAAGGTTCAACAGCTTGAACCTTTACACAGCTTGATAAGAAAGAATTCTTCTAACACTACTCACCCCAACTATATTACTTATAATGACAAAAACCTGAATGAAATAGTTGAGATAGTAAATGGATTTAATGAATATTTTGTAAATGTAGGGCCTAAGTTAGCAGAACAAATAAATAAAAGAAATCCACTGGATGTGGACACACTGGAAATTTGTACTAAACAAAATGCATCATCTATGTACCTGAAACCAGTACATAAAATAGAAATTAAGGACATAGTTAATCAATGCAACAATAAAAAAAAATCAATGGACTGGAATGACAGCATGTCACTTATAAAAAAGATAATTGATGATATTGCAGATCCTCTAACTTACATCTGCAAATTGTCATTCATAACTGGAACATTTCCAAATGCAATGAAAATAGCGAAGGTTATTCCTCTATTTAAATCTGGAGATAAGCATACTATTAGTAATTATAGACCTGTGTCAATTTTCAAAAATACTAGAAAAAGTGTTTAGTAAAAGGTTAGATAATTTCATTGAAAAACAAAGCATTTTGACAGATTGCCAATATGGTTTCAGAGAAAACCCATCCACTTCAATGGCACTGATGGCATTAACAGAAGAAATTATAGACAATATGGATAAAAAGAAATTTGCAATTGGTGTATTTCTGGATCTCAAAAAAGCTTTTGATACCATCAATCATGACATGTTAATAAAAAAAACTGGAAAGGTTTGGAATTAGAGGAGTGGCATTAAACTGGCTTAGGAGCTACATTGGAGAAAGGAAACAATTTGTAGAAATAGATGGTCAGAAATCAGATCTACTAAAAATAACTTGTGGAGTTCCGCAGGGATCAGTTTTGTGACCCAAACTGTTCAATCTGTATATAAACGACATAGTTAAAATATCAAACCTTATAAAGTAAATTCTATTTGCTGATGATACAAGTATCTTCTGTACTGGAGAAAACCTTCAACAACTTTCAGAAGTGGTCAACACAGAAATGGAAAAATTACAGCATTGGCTCAAAAACAATAAATTATCAGCAAATTTAGATAAAACCAAATTCATTATATTCGGAAACAATAAAAAACAGGAAAATAAACCAATTAAAATATCAATTGAAAGTGTTGATTTAGAACAAGTACATGAAATAAAATTCTTGGGTGTCATATTAGACGATAAGTTTAGCTGGAGACCTCAGATCAGCCTAGTAAAATCTAAAATAGCCAAAAGTGTTGCTGTTATAAGAAGACTTAGTTTCGTCCTGGATTACAAATCTTTCTTTATTCTGTACAACACACTCATTGTACCACATTTAACATTTTGTGTGGAAGTTTGGGGGAATACATACAAAACAAATTTACAGCCATGATACGTTTTACAAAAGAAATCAATCCGAATACTACATAAAGTGGGATACTGGGAACACACAAACCAGTTATTTATCAAATCAAATATACTGAAATTCTGGGACCTGGTAATATTCAGAACTTCACAATTCATGTTTAAGGCCCGAAATCAAAAACTTCCACACAATATACAGGAAATGTTTGGTGACAGAGAGGGGGGTTATGATCTAAGAGGTGAAGGATACTTTAAAAAACAACACTTAACAACCAGGAAGAGTTTTTGTTTATCTGTGTGTGGAGTAAATGTCTGGAATGGATTGAATGACAAGTTTAAAAAATTCAAAATGCAAACCAATTTAATAAACTGATTAAAACTGAGCTCATTTCAAAATACGCTATATAAGATGACTGTTTAATAGTCTATAATGTAATTGATGACATAAATAGAACTTAAAATAATTGTACATGGCTAAACATCATGTGGAATGGAAACAAGTGTTTTTTGGTTTTTTGATGTTTTGACATTTAATTGAGGATAAATTGACAAGTAGGAAAGGGGCAGGACATTATAAGATGTATCTTCTACCTGCTCCTTTTCGAACAGAAAATATAAAATTTACATGTCACATGGGCAAAATAATTTGTTTTATATTTTCATTCTTAAGTTTGTTTCATTCAATTTTTTTGTTGTTTTTACTGTCTGTTCGAAATAAATTAATTAATTAAATTAATTAATTAATTAAATAAATTAATAAAATCATTACTGTTAAATTGTATTTCATTTCCAATTGTTTATTTGAATTCTTATTCCCGATTAGTTGGAGACATACACTAGGCTATATCAGCCCCACCAAAAATATTTTTCACCAGCCGCCACTGGCCTGATCCCTGCTGGACCAACAGGTGAACTACAGACACTTAGAAACACCTCCAACAATGTTTACCCTGAACTCACAAGAGACTGAATTAGTGGAAAAACATCCAGAAGAAACAAACTTTTTCATTAAAAATAATTAAAATGTGGAATAAAAACATTTCAAAATTAATCAGTTAAGTATCTCACAAAACCTTTAGACTGAGCTCACCTCTTTGCAGCTGAAGGTTGGTCTGATTTAAAATGAATACCAAGATCCTTTGACCAGTCGCTCTTTAAGGAAACACAGCTCGGTTCTGGTTCTGCTTTAAGGTTCTGTTGGATCCTGAAAGAAAAAGCCTGAATTCAGCCTTAGTCTAATAATGTAATAAAGTTAAACAGTGAAGCCCAGAACTCTAAAGTGTCCCACAGTGGCTCTAGTTTGAAGTGGACCCAAATATTCCTGGTTTCACTGTAAACCATATATTAATGATGGATTAATAATTAGCTCTGATGATAATTAATAAGCGATGATGTTTGGGTTTGTTAGCAGGAACTGAACAATAATCAGAAAGTCTGGATGTAGAACAGTGTTTGATGTGCTCTGATCTTCTATCCTGATAAACTTTCTCCCTTTGGATCAGAGTCAGAACTGCTGATGGAGAAACAAGTTCATTTATCTTCTAGTTGATTGTTTGACTTGCTCTAGTCTTAAACTGAGGATCAAACCCCTTTAGAACAGGTGCTTTATCCTCAGCTGATCATTTCTGAGCTTCTGTTCAGGTTTTTATGGTAATACAGGCCATTGTGGTGCATTCAGGGACCTTTCATTAATGTAGTAATCCACACTAAGATTTCTATCAAAGATTGATCTTGTTATTATTCCTCCAGCAGCAGATCAATTATCTTGTATTTTTGATGACATGACATTTCATATCATCACAATAAAACAATCCTTTGATTATTTCCATTATTTAGGCTCCATCACTCACTGCTTCTCATGTGAACACAGACATGTGAGAAAGAGTTGTGTTCACATTAATATGTTGGAGGGAAGTTAAACTAATCAGTGGAAAATTTAGAAACAGCTCACCTGTTTGCTGATGATGGTTGTTCTGGTTTAAAATCAATAGGTAGATACTTTGACCTGTTGCTCTTTAAAGACAGACAGCTGTGTTCTGGTCCAGCTTCTGGTTCTGCTGGTTTCCTGTGAATAAAGATGGTTTGTTGATGTTCATGCTGAGCTCTGACATGGAGAAGAGTCCTGGACAGTTAGAGATGGTGATCTGACCTCTGAGCTTTGCTCTGGTCCTCATGTTCTCCACACAGAGTGGTTTTAGAGGAAGGGACTCTTTCCTCTCTGTCCTCACACTGATCCATGCTGCTCACTTCACATCAGCTCACACACCTGCAGCTGCAGCCAAGAACACAGGATGAAGCTACATTAACATTCACTGATTCCCACCTGCAGGATACAGTAGCTGGTTACCATCTATTACAGAAATAAAGATGTGATACTAAAGTATATCTAATCTTAAAAACTAAAATAAAGGACTGATGAAATTTGTCAGAAATTAAACCATTTTCAAATGAATTAAACCATTATAGTTTGGAATTAAAGTGAATGAATTTCAGACCCCAACACTCTAAGATCTTAAATATTATTCAGTCAAACTTCTTCCTGCATTATGGGTGTGCTACGGTGGTGCAGTGTTAGGGCCAACGGCCCATGTACGGAGGCCTTAGTCCTGGATGTGGCCTCGAATCCGGCCTGTGGTCCTTCGCCACATGTCTCTCCCCCTCTCAACTAACCCCTTTGCTGTCAGCCTACTGTACAAAAAAACGAGCTACTAGTGTCATTAATAATACTTCTTTGTGCATCACAAACTCTGAACATCTGGACCTCATGAATTTCTAAACCATCAAACTAAACAGATGGATTATATGCTCTATTAAAGCTTCAGACAGTTTAATACAAGGAAATGTATATTTTAATAAAATTTATATTTAATAATATTGATGCTCTTATTGTGAAAAGCTCCACAGGAAGCAGCTGCTCTGCTTGTCAATTTACATTAAGGAGAAAATAAAAGTTTGATCTAAAGACCTGAAAAAGAAACCATTTTTAAAGTGAAGCACAAACATCATCTGCTCATTATATTGAATGTTTCAGAAAATAATCTAGTAATTCTGGAGATTTTCCTTCATTTACAGTAAAATTAAATCTTTGGTCTGGAATCAAAGCAGAATGATTTCTAAAAACCACAGAAAGAAGAAACAGACTGTTAAATGATTGAACTTCAACTTTTACTATGAAACAAAGTGAAATAGTTAAACTTACGGTGTCTTTAGGGAAAGCAGAGAACAGACGAAGGTCTGAAGAAAACAGACTGAGATGGAGGCAGAAAAGGAGAACCAGTAGAACCAGTTTACCTGCAGTCAGAACTTCACCTGAGATGGAGGCTGGGCAGGTAGCAGGAGTTAAGGGGAGGGACCGTAACCATGACAACAGAACAAGGGCTTTCACTTTTGACTCACAGGGATGGGTTCTAACTTGATGAATAATATTTGTGGTTACATTTTAGATTTCCTTCTGTTCTTTTTCTCTCTTAGTTGTTGTTCAGTAATTTCCATTAGTTTTTATTTTTACTTATATGATTCTATTTATTTTTATTATTAGATCCCCTAAAATCCTAAATTTAAGGAGTTAGGATTCCTAGTCTTTTGCTGAATTTAATGATAACTTCTATGAAACTGAATCACGGAATATGATCAATATTGATATGAAACTATATTGATAAAGACATGATGTAACAACTGCAACAAAGCAGGAAGACAGAGAATAGAATCTGTCCATCTGGAGCCCAGTTAGGTTATAGAAAAACCCTGATAGAGACATGGATGAAGATAGGAGAATGGAAAACACTGCAGATGATGGATCAGATTCTGGAAAGCAGGACATACTCCATCTTTTCCCACTTTAGAAGGTTTTGAAGTTACATGTTGATTATGTTCCAAGTTCTATTTTCATTTTAATGCTATTTGCAGCTTTAATGTAAATATCAGAGCTCTAAAATATTCAGCTGCTCATCAAGGACTGAGGTTCAGTTCAGTTTATATCATCCTGTCTGAGATTATAATTTAAAACAAAACCAGTCTGAGTCCATTTATTTTATTGGTCTCTACCAACACAGTGAGAAAAGCAGGAAAATTAAAGCGGCCGGGATGGGGATCAGTGCCTCCAAATCCGAGGCCATGGTCTTGAGCCGGAAAAGGGTAGAGTGCCTTCTCCGGGTCGGGGGGGTGTCCTGCCCCAAGTGGAGGAGTTTAAGTATCTTGGGATCTTGTTCACGAATGAGGGAAGAAGGGAGCGGGAGGTCGACAGGCGGATTGGTGCAGCATCTGCCGTGAAGCGGGCGCTGTACCAGTCCGTTGTGGTGAAGAGAGAGCTGAGTCAAAAAGCGAAGCTCTCGATTTACCGGTCGATCTACGTTCCTACCCTCATCTATGGTCATGAACTCTGGATCATGACCGAAAGAACGAGATCGCGGATACAAGCGGCCGAAATGGGTTTCCTCCGTAGGGTGGCTGGGCTCTCCCTTAGAGATAGGGTGAGAAGCTCGGTCATCCAGGAGGGACTCTGAGTAGAGCCGCTGCTCCTCCACGTCGAGAGGAGCCAGTTGAGGTGGCTTAGGCATCTGTTTAGGATGCCTCCTGGACGCCTCCCTGGTGAGGTGTTCCGGGCACGTCCCACCGGGGAGAGGCCCCGGGGAAGACCCAGGACACGCTCGAGAGACTATGTTTCTCGGCTGGCCTGGGAACGCCTTGGGATTCCTCCTGAAGAGCTGGAAGTAGTGGCTGGGGAGAGGGAAGTCTGGGCCTCCCTTCTTAAGCTGCTGCCCCCGCGACCCGACCTCGGATAAGCGGAGGAAGATGGATGGATGTATGGATGAAATTATTTTATGACATTTAAAGGAATAGTACACCCAAAACATGATTAGCCTTCATTTTCTACTCACCCCCATGCTGAACAACACTCTGGAGTACTTTTTTGATATCTCAAATGCATGTGGAGATCTGGGAGGCTTCTTGCTGTCTGCTGACATTCAAATAATGGAGGTCTTTGGTGACCGAGACAGAAAGGTCCATAAAAGTCCACAAAAACCGTGTCAATATTCCTCCATACTGCTCGTCCAATGTATTCCAAGTGTCCTGAGTGGGTAGCATCCAGAATTTACTCGAAACGAAGTCATTTAGAATGTTTTTAGAGCATAAACAGTAGTGTATAGGATTTCCTGAAAGCGCGCACATGCGCGCTCACGACGCTACGGAAGCCGGCAGACCAAACCAGATGAAAGTGCGCATTCAGCGTCTGCTCTGCCAATAATGCAAGCGTAGAAGAAGAAATGTGCTGTTTACCTGTGCAAAGAAAGAAACAACGAAAGAAAAATGTCTGAGGACTTCAGTGTTGAGGAAGAGCATGAGTTCTTTGCCGAGCTGAATGCGCTGGTTTGGTCTGCCGGCTTCCGTAGCGTCGTGATCGCGCATGTGCGTGCTTTCAGGAAATCCTATACACTACTGTTTATGCTCTAAAAACATTCTAAATGACTTCGTTTCGAGTAAATGGATGCTACCCACTCAGGACACTTGGAATACATTGGACGAGCAGTATGGAGGAATATTGACACGTTTTTTGTGGACTTTTATGGACCTTTCTGTCTCGGTCACCATAGACCTCCATTATTTGAATGTCAGCAGACAGCAAGAAGCCTCCCAGATCTCCACATGCATTTGAGATATCAAAAAAGTACTCCAGAGTGTTGTTCAGCATGGGGGTGAGTAGAAAATGAAGGCTAATCATGTTTTGGGTGTACTATTCCTTTAAGGAAAATAATAATTTAATTCTTGTGCTTAAGTCCACTGTAGAGCCTGCACTTTTTTATTTTTTCTTAACTAAAGTAGTTCAATCAGTATTTTTAACAGCTCTGATCGCTGATCAAGCTCTGCACTGGAGGCAGCATGATGCTGCAGCTTCCCTCTCATCAGAGAATGTTCCTGGAGCTGGTTGGACGTCCTGAAGACTCTTTTCTGCAGCTGAACTTCTCAGATTAAATTTCAGTCTAACTTAGTTTCCATCTATCAGAGGTTCATGATGTTTAAACATGATTATAGCAGCTTCTAACAGATGACTCACCCTGGATCTGCTGCTCCAGGATCATTACTGAAGCCTCCAGGAAGATATTTGGGACAGCTGGAGGATGGAGACTCTGCTCTGTTCTCCTCTAGGTTCATAACTATAACTGATGGTCTCTGCAGACATGAAGTCAATCTGAGAGGAAAACAGAGACTCTCAGTTAACATGTGGTTAATTCCCGGTGTTCCCAGTTAGCTGCTCTCTGATCTGTCCTGTAGAGCAGGAAGCTGATTCTATTCTCAGTAAATCTGACTGTTTATATTCAATCTTCTGTAGAGATGAGATAAACAGAAGACACTCTGGATGCAGAGCAGGACTGAAGTGGAAAGAGAGAATGAGGAAGTTCAACCATCTCCTCCATCAATCATACTGGGGAACATAAGATCTCTGGCAAACAAAATCGTTGAACTTGAAGAGCTGATAAAGACTCAGCCACAGTATCAGGAATGCATGTTAGGCTATAAAATGCTGTAGTGAAGAACCCAAATGCAGAAGGTGGAAGGAGGGAGGCAGGAAAGAGGACAACAGAAACTATAGAAACTAGAAATCGTTTTTGTGGCACCCCAAAAACGATTGACCAGGCCCTGGTCAATATTTTTGTTTTTTGTTTTTTTTTGTTTTTTTACAATTAAATAACTTACATAAGTGATATAAATGAATGAATATCAATTAATAAATGAAAAATTCAAGACAAAAAAATTCTGATTTGTCCACAACTGCTCATGTGCATTCACTTCGCGATGGCAGCCGCGATGGCGCAGACGGCTTGCGGTATGCGCGCGTGCATTGACAATTCACACTGCCGCACGTCATGTTAATAAGAAAATCTAAGACATTTCACAAAAAAGGATGTATCCCTCTGAAAAAAGAAAAGGAAAGCGGAAGAGAAAAAAGAGCAAGATAAAAGTATGTTTGCATTATTATTTACGGACCGGTATATTTTGTGCAGCAGCAGCACAAATTGCGCTCACGTCACTTAAGGTAACAGCTACCTTGTCGTCATAACTCATGTCATGATATTTATCAGCCATCCATCACCATTAACAGTGAAACATTACCTGTTATTAATATACATTTATTTAGGTAGGTGTGTATTTCATGTGTTGATACATATCGGCGTAGGAGACCTAGCACATGCTGGAGGAACTATGTTTCTCGCCTGGCCTGGGAACGCCTGCCTGGGCCTCGCTATTGAAGCTGCTACTCCCGCGACCCGACCCTGTATAGGCGGAAGATAATGGATGGATGGATAGATATCGGTTTGAGAAATCACAGATGCCAGCTTAGCTAGCATTGCAGTTTTTGTTGAAGTGAATCATTAGAAAATATACCAAAAATGAAAATAGACTGCAGTTTTATTAATATGGTGGTGAGTGATGACGCAGTGCTTTCCTCATATTTAGGCTGCAGTAGATCTCCATGTTAAGTTTTCACCATATGGAATTATGCCTCATTTGCCAATAGAATATGAATTGTTAGGTGAGGTGTGGAGTTTCTTGTGGTGCAAGATGGGAAAATAAACTCATTCTATTAATAAACTATGCATTATGCAATGCTATTTTTCCCAGGAACACTGTTGAAGTACTTTGGAGAACAACCAACTTTACCTTCCCTTAATGTTTCGAGTGTCAGTGACTCCACAGCTGATGGTGCAGGAGGTGAAGGTTTTCTTGATGGCAAATGGTTACATAGTCTGTTAATAAGACATGAAACATTTAGCTTTTTAATTATGTCTTTATTTTTTATTCCTTTGTTTTATCATTGCAGGTTCATCCACTGCACAAGCGACTAAAAGGGAGGAGCACTTACATACGACTGAAAGCGAGGAGCAGTTACAAGCACCTACATTTACTGATACGTTGGTTTCAAATTCAGCCTGCAAGGCAGGTCTGTCAATCTAAAGGTTTTTGTTTTGTGTTGGCTTTACAATAAAATTTTCTGCTTTGTTATTTTATTCTTTTTTATTTAATGTAATGTCCCTACAGGTCTTTCTACATCTGCACCAACTGCTATAGATTTCCCATCAACTTCCTCAACAAGCTCAGCTATCAAGATAGATCAACAGCTCCTCCAATTGACCCAGTTGAATGGTCAGCATTCCTCTCAGACTAAGAAAGGACTGATCTGGTAAGAAGAGGGCCAGTGCCAATCAGTGGCACCTCTACATTCCCCAAGAAATTAGATGGATGAAGCTTTCACTACCACTATACATACAGACAGTTAATGGGGAAAAAATCAAGTGAAGCTGGCTAATTTATTCAAAGAAAAGTGATGCAGTTTACTGCTTCTGTTGCAAATTATTCTCAAAAAAAGTCCACAAAGCTGTCAACAGAGGGACTGTGTGATTGGGCAATTGTAGGTGCTTTGCTGAAACAGCATTAAAATAGTCAAGATCATTGCAATAATATGATGAAGTGGAAAGACTTTGCCCTCTGTCTTTCTAAGCAGAAGACTATTGATGCAACAGAAATGGCCCTTTTGGATGCAGAAAGAAATCGTTGGAGAGATGTTCTTATTCGTTTGATGAGTATCATTCAGTCTTTGGCAGAGAGAAATCTTGCACTCAGGGGGTCTGTTGATACTTTGCATCAGGCCAACAATGGGAACTTCCTTAAAGAGGTGGAACTGATGGCAAAATTTGACCCGGTGTTAAAAGATCACATATGACGAATTGATAGTGCAATGCAGCACAACACGTACCTGGGTAAGACTATCCAGAATGAGCTGATAGAATGTCTCAGTGACAACATAATTGAGGTAATGGTGGCAAAAATCAAGGACTGCAAATATTATTCAATAATTTTAGACTGTACACCTGATGTTAGTCACCATGAACAAATGTCTGTTGAGGTGCGCACAGTCACTCTGGGCACAACACCAGAAATAAAACAGCACTTTTTAGGATTTCTGATAGCTCCAGAATCCACTGGCCTGGGTTTTTCCAATCTAATCCTTAACAGGCTTGAGGAATTAAACATCCCTTTTCAGGATTGTCGGGGGCAGTCCTATGACAATGGTGCTAATATGAAGTGAAAAAACAAGGGTGTGCAGGCTAGGCTATTGGTTAAGAATCCAAGAGCTTTTTATGTGCCTTGCAGTTCCAAGGCACAGTTCCTTGCAGTTGCATTTTTGGAAATGTGGAGAAGGTGTATGATTTGTTCGCTGGGTCCACTCAAAGGTGGGACGTCTTAGGGAGGTTTGTTGACATCACGCTCAAATCCAGGAGTGAGACACTCTGGGAAAGCCAGATAAAATGTATTGAAGCTTTGCGGTACCAGTCAGAGAAGGTGAAGGAAGCCCTGCTAGAACTGAGAGGCAAAGCGTCTGACTCTGTAATGGCTGTTGAAGCCAACTCCCTTGCGGAAGAGATAGGTTCATTTAGGTTCCAGATTTGTTGTGTTGTCTGGTATGACATTTTGTCTAAAATTAACATCACGAGCAAGCTTCTACAGTCAACAAACATGCAGCTTGATGTAGCAGTTACCCTTCTAAAAAAGAACAAAGGTGAACTTATAAGTTACCGAAAAACAGGCTTCTGTGATGCACAGACATCTGCTAAAGAAATTTGTGAGTGGATGAACACAGAAGCAGTGCTGAGAGAGAAGCGATTGCGTTCTACAAAAAGGCATATTGCCTATGAGGCTGCAGATGAGCCAATAGTGGATGCTATGAAGAGGCTTGAAGTGTCATTTTTTTTATTGCTATAGTGGATTGTAGCATTTAGTCCTTGGAGGATAGATTTACATCTCTAAGTGAGGTTAAAGATAACTTTGTAGTGCTGCTCAATTTTAGGGAGCTTGATCAAACATACATATATATACGTATATATACACATATATATACGTATATATACACATATATATACGTATCTATACACATATATATACGTATATATACCTATATACAGTGTTGTGCCTGAACGCGTTCATTGAACGAAAGTTCATGAACTCGTTCATATTTTGGGCGAACGTGAACTGAACGTACTGCATTATTGCCTGATGAACGTTATTGTGAACTAGTTCATTCTGGCGTCTGTGAACGGCACGCTCTCTCAGTTCAACTCCGTTCAATAGGTTGCCAGATTTCTATAAAGCCCTCCAGGCGAAACCCCGGCTAAATCTCACCGTAAACAGGCCTTAATATGTAGCGGGAAAAACACCCAATCTGGCATCACAAGCTACCAGTGTCGTAGCCTACAGCCGCGTGCGTCATCAAAACAAAATGCAGCGTGGAAGCCACAGCAGCGTGTAGGCGACTTAAAACAGGTTTATGACCAGGTGGTCGGTGAGGATGATGGCAACAAGTTTGCCCGCCGGCTTTCAGTAAAAAAATCCGCACTTCAGTAACCTTAAATTCCTACCTCAGCCTGGTCCCTCAGTTTGTGTTAGTACAATCTTCTTGAGCGGAGGTCTTCAACAGGGGATCCGCGACCCCTAGGGGGTCTACGGAGGTACTGCATGAGGGTCTGCATGGTTAGTTGATATTTTTATATTCCCCCCCTGCATTTATTTTCCCCACTAATTGAAATGTCTTTAAATACTCATTAACATGAAATCAACACACTGTAGTAAACAGATAAATGGAGACAAAAGATGTCTTTCAGTCATCAATGCACACATTCAGCGACACACAGGAGCTCTTTCAAGCTGGACACCGTTTCCTTCACAACAACCAGGAATCAGAATCAGAAAAACTTTAATAATCCCAGGGAGAAATTAATTTCTTTACATTACTCCATCTGTAATAGAGTGACTATAGGACACAATTTCATACAATATATATAGTTAGGGGGTCCCCGCTCCATCTCACCATCAGTTTGGGGGTCCTTGGTCTGGAAAACATAGAAGACCCCTGTTCTTGAGGGTTTTACTATCCATGTAACTTGTTTGTTAAACCTGCCTGGTATAATTTTCCAGGATTCCAGTATTCCATTTAGTATGTATTGAAATGGAATTTCAAATGGAAAAAATTATTAAAAAAAAAAAAAAAACATTTGCACCTTAAAGACTACTTTCCTATTTTTCTTTTAATAATTACTCATAAAAAAGACCATTCA